ATTATAATCCATCAAGTTCAAGAATATTACTCCGTACTTGGGAAATAACCAAATCTAAATATTGCTAATATTCACAAGCAGTGATAATTTTGATTTTGATATGAATTGCTTACACTTGGGAATAAAAATGAGAAACTTTTAACCAGAGTCGAAATACCTAACTTAGCGGATGAAAAATCGAGTTTCAATGGTTCAACCCGCAGAGCGTATCGTTGTTTATCGTTGTTCGTCACCGTTCTCCTCTTGTCGCCTAGCTTCCGCTCATCTTCTTCGTCCAACTCATGGTCTCCCGCCACCATTGCTACTCATCGAATGCGAACGATGATGAAGATATGTGCAGCGGCGTTGAATTCTGTGCTTAGGTTTTCACTTTTTAGAGGACTGAGAAACGTAATGTAGTAGGATCCTATGTAGATAATACTTATGGTGACTATATGTTTCTCAAATTTAAAAAGAAATGCGGACACACATAAGTGTCAACATATACCAGTTATTGTGACATTTTTACGTGTGTCACTAAAAACGTGTGTCAAGAAATGTAACATTTTTTGTAGTGAGTGAACCATCAAGTGGAGTCAGGGACGGACCTATGTGTATGTAGGGATGGATCCGGGCCGGGCCCGGCCGGGCTTTTTTTGCAAATCCTTGGGCCCGGAACCGGCCCGGGTTGATACCGGGTCCGGGCCTAACCGGGTCGGGCGGGGCCCGATTCAATGTCTATTTTTTTGCTTTCTTGTTATCCCACGACACCACCCCCCTCACTCCCACCCCCAAACCTCCCCAAAACACCCAGCCCTACCCTAGGAAAAGAAAAAAATTGAAAAAACAAAAAAAATGACCAGGGCCCGGCCCGAACCGCCCGGCCCGGGTCGCCCAAACCTGGGCCCGAGCTCGACCCGCCCGACCTGCCCAAACGGGCTAAAAGCCCGGAACCGGCCAACCGGTCTTGGTCCGGTCCGGGCCCGCACAGTAGCGGGCCGGCCCGGTTTAGTCCATCCCTATGTGTATGGGTAGGGGGGCCTTGCCCCCCAACTTTTTTAAAATAGATATGAAATGATTAGAAAAGATCGAGTCAAAATTATCTGATAGAAGCCTCAATTTGAGATGCTTATAGGTAGAATTTTTTTGATGAAATCTTGTGACCATATTTTACATGAACAGTAGATTATGCCTACCAGACTTTAGCTTAAAATTCAATTGAGAAGTCAATTAAATAAAATATGGAAAAACATCACATTGTTTTATATATTTTTTGGCACAATATTTTTCAATATTTTATTTATTTGACATGTGAATTGAATTTTAAACTAAAGTTTGGTGTAAATAATCTACACATCTTGAAAAATATTCTCACAAAAATTCAACAAAAAAATCCATCTGAAAGCACCTCAAACATAGGCGGCTAGACGGTGAGTCCTGTCATGTAGTTTTCATAGGATCATTGCTTATGAAAATATTACATATATATGATTAAAAATACTACTCCCTCCATGTCGCTAAGATTGACCCATTTTACGTTTTCGGGAAATCCCACTAAGATTTTCATATACCATATTTGGTAAAGTTTGTGTGGCTCTTAATCGTTCTTACTTTATCAATTCAATATCAACCACACAAACTCATTTTTCTTAATAACTGTGTCACCTTCTTCCGTCCCAATGTTAGTGGGATGGATGTAGTACAAAATATGTTTTATTCCTCAAATAGAACATAGCGGTTCTTGTCAAATATGCTCTATATATGAAAAAAATTATGCTACCAAGGAAATTTTTCTCTTTATTGTTTGTCTTCCTTCTTGGCCTCCCCTATGAGTAAATCTTGGCTTTGTCCCTGGGTGAAGTTTCACGCAGGCGGCTGGAGTTCTTTTGCCGGTAAACGCTTGTATAACCGAGATATAAAGATGTAATTGTGAAATTTAGTTTAGAGAAGTAATTTAAAGTTAAGAAATTTGTAAATACAGCAAAAATATACTACCTCTGTCCATGAAAATCTTCCACTCGCTTTACGAGAATCAACTTAAATCACTCTTAATTTTTTAGTTTATATATCAAAACTTTATGAAAATTGAATTACTTTTTGCAGGTTTTGTAGCGGTTTTAATGTAGTTTCTGAATATGTTAATTTTATTTACTAAAAATAATCTGATTTTCACAATGATCATTTAACATTATCACTGGTCAAACCGCGTAATCCGTTATTGGAAGAACAATTAGGGATAGAGGGCAGTGGCGGACATGTATGTGTTCAAAATTATTCTTGTGAACACCCAAAGATTTTTTTTTGTATAAAAATACATATATAAGTTTTCTAGATTTTTTTTTATAAATAAATTTGAACACCTAAAATTTGAAAAATTAATTTGAACACCTAAAGCTAACATGGTAGATCCGCCACTAATAGAGGGCGGTATAGGTCATGGTTTAGACCACTACGTATACTAGAAATCAACCCTTTCCCAAAAAACCTGCTACCTTGAAGCCTGTGAAATTAATCCTTTGGGGAAGAAACCCGCTACTTAACGGTATAGGTCATGGTTTAGACGTTTTCCGGATTCTTTTTACGGGTCAACATTACATGACTTAGCCATATTGAGGATGTAATTTGATGGTCTGGTCTGGTCTGAACTGGTCTGGTCTGGTTTGGTCTGGTTTCTTTGTATTTTTATAACTATCCAAGTCTGGTCTGGTCTAGTCTGGTCTGTTATGAGATATGTTGACATTACTGACGTGGCAGTTTTCATTAATGTGAATAGGCTACCATTGAAGATGCTCTTGTTGAAGCACGATTAGAAAGCCTTAAACCCCGTAAATCAGGGGTACATTATTTGGGAAAAGACTATAAGATTTGAGCAACTTTTTCCTACTTGGAAGAACTTGCCTACGTGGCTACGTTAAATTTTTATTCTTTGGTCCTAGTAATTTTTTTGTAATATAGACGATCAAAAGTAATGCTAGATCACCTAAATTAATAAATTAAAAAAATGAGGAAGTTTGATTGGGTACTAAATTGAAATAAGTGGACCTCATTGCAAAGTATTAGGAAGTACAAAAATTTTTATCTTCTTATTTTCATTTTAAAAATATAATTATAGAATACAAGTGCTTTTTATTTTTCTAATATTCATATTATAATACACTTAAAGATCTTAAAAAAATTATTAGTAGTCGTACTCATAGTAACAGATCTTGTTTTAAGCAGCCCATTTATTTTAAATTAATTATCATCTATTCATTGGAAATTATTCTAAAACAACGTGATATTTTAAAATAGGAGTACGAGACTTTTTCTAAACGAGTTTGTGTCATGTTTGTAAAATACTCCCAGAATTGATTATGCATATCGAATTGTACTTGGTGGCTTTAATGAAAAATGGTGTAAAAATGTCGCCGCTGCCGCTATATAAATTATGAACAACACCGTGATTGGACTTACTCTGAAAATGAGTGGTATTCTCATGTGGACGGCCGCACAAGACCCGCCGTCCGTCCGACGGCGTTTGGCCACCTTTCCGGTGTTATTTTTTGATGACATTTTTATGGCATGTTCTTCATGAAGTCTAGTTTATCCACACAAAGATTCAGCTAAAAGCTCAATCCTGAAGATCCTCAAATGATTTTTGGAAGTTGACTGCGTATATTTTAGCGCAGTGAACTTCAAAAAATCATTTGACGACCTTCCGAATTGAGTTTTTAGCTGATTTTTTGTGTGGATAAACTAGACTTGATGAAGAACATGTCATAAAAATTTTATCAAAGAAAATTCACAGGGAAGGCGGCCAAACGCCGTCGGCCGGACGACGGGTCTGCTGCGGCCGTCCGCACATGAAAACTCCTCCTCTGAAAATAGTGTAACATTCAATGTAAAAATTGGCATTGTCTTAATCCACATATTATAATATATAGTAGTCATTGCTTAGAATAAGTAACTTAGTTTTCATTATAGAAATTGAGCTAAATAGGAGTAAAAACGTTTTGAAATTTTAAAATAGAATTTTTATGTTTTTATTCCCTAAATAGAAGTAATTCTGCAAATTTTGGGAAAAATGTCATGTTTAAAGCCTAGTAAGGCCAAACTTGGCAGAAATTTACTCATATTCAGAGAATAAAAAACATGATAGTCATATTTTGGAATTTCAAAACTTTTTTACTCCTATTTAGTGAATTCACTCTTCATTATTTGTCATATACTACGTACTTAGTATGAAGTTTTCCCCAGAATAATGCTAATTAAATAAATTATTTCCGAAATACTGCCGGGTTAAGAATAAAGTATTTTGGAAATTATTCTTAACCCGGTAGTATTTCGGGAATAATTTATTTAATTAGCATTAATCCGGAAAAAAACTCCCTAGTATGAGTCAATGTTTCATGAAGTAATATCCCCTATAATCCAAAATGATTGTACATCTTGTACTAGTTATTATTCAAAAGTTAATACAGTATAATTAACTGAAGGTATGTGATTTCTTATTTCATATTTTACTTCTACGATTTAATTAAAATTCCAATACACAATTGGATGGATATTCACTTTTTCGGTTTCAGACCACGCTCAACAATTACACAAAGCACCACTCACGCTCACAAAAAAGGTAACACACTTGATCCAACACCAACTGTCTCAACGCTCACCAGACACATAAAAGAAATAGAATAGAAGAAGAATTCGCACAAAGGAACGACAAGAAGTAACGATATGCTTCAGCGAGAACCCTAGCTCTCTCTCTCCCCTCACACTCTATCTCTCTCTAGGTCGAGCATACAGAAGACACTCACCGTGAAAAAAACAAAGACAAAGACAAAGACGAAGACCTTAAATATTAGGGTTAAAAGAAACCTAATATTTTAATGTTATTTCTTTAACATTATTTCGTTTAAACTTTTACGAGTTCATATAAATCAACACAAATTATTGAACAAAATTTCTATAAATTCAAAAGATTATGAACTTCTATAAAACCCCACCATTAATTATTTTTATTTGCATTTAAAGTACAACCTTTAAATCTTAATTAGTAGTACTACGTAGGTAGTATAAGAATGTGGGCCTAAGTTTGAGGTGGGAGTGTGGGAGTAGGACTGGGGCAGAGCACAAAATAACATAAAACCAAAGAAGTTCGGATCTATGGGCACGTTGGCTGTAGAAGTGTAGATCGAATCAGATCAATAATTGGACGGTCAAGCTTTCAATCGGTCCTTTATGTCTCCTTTCTTCTTCTACTGATTGCTTCCGTGTATATTCAATGCTCAAATCTCGGAACTTTTACAATTTAATTTATTTTTTCTCCCCATCATCTGCTCTGTAGTCTTCTACTCCAGCCATATCGATCTGTCCCCTTAGATTATGAGCAATTTTTCACTTTAATCGTCTTCGTATGCTGCAATCTAGTGTATATGCCCTGGGAACCTTTTTCTGCAAAGAGTTTCCTTTTGCCCTTATGGTTAGTTCTTTTTCGTACTTCTTTAAAAAAGAATCATCATTTATTCATAAATTGGGGAGTACTATTTTCCTTAGTATATACCCCAAAAGATGTGAACAAAGATGCCCAATTTCTGCTTTGCCCTGTATTTCAAGGCAAGCATGTGCGGGTCCTTGCATACAACCAAAGCCCCCTGTGCTGCAACTTAGCTGTACTTGTTTGTGTGATTATATTATTATATTATTATTATATATAGTATATTGGTAGATTAAGTGCATCCCCTTTCACCTTTGGTTCCTTCTCAGATTTGGTATTCTCTTTAAAGCACTTTTGGTTGTTGCTTCTTGTATCCTAAAAAGGTATCCAGACTTTTCAGCTTTGGATCCCTGGTTTTAATTTTGGATTTTTATTTTGATGTTGATGGCTTGCTTATACTCCATCATCTTATGTTATTCTATTTGTCCTTCGATGTAATCATTTCAGTCCAGTGTAAAGTGTTAACTACTCTGCTTTGCTTAGAAGTGGTCAGGTTTTGTTGAACTCTTGGATCTCTCCTCTTTCGGTGGGAAACTGATATAGGACTCATTGCTGTGCAGTTCAGACTTGTCAGGATTCTGTCAGAATAGTTGAAAATAAAAATGAACGGGGCTGTACTAGTGGCGATTGCAGCCACAATTGGGAACTTTTTGCAAGGTTGGGATAATGCCACAATTGCAGGTACTTTATTCTTTCTTCTAAGCATCAATTTAGACACAGTTCTGACTTAACATTTGAAGGATCATTCGTTGTTCACATTGCCTGAAAGATTTTCTTTATGTTTAAACTGCAATATATTTGCTATGATTAAATTCATTTTGTATGTTTGGCTGTTTTCCTGAAACCGTTGGTGAAAATGTGTGGTACTAGGCATACTAAATATGTGATATACTGCTATGTCGTTTTAATTCTGCAATTTATCAATATATACTCTAGGAGCTGTTGTATACTTAAAGAAGGAACTTGCTTTGGAGACATATATGGAAGGACTTGTTGTAGCCATGTCTCTGATTGGAGCGACACTTATCACAACCTGTTCTGGATCCGTAGCAGACAGGCTTGGTCGACGGCCAATGCTTATTCTCTCATCAATCTTGTATTTCCTAAGTGGTTTGATAATGTTGTGGTCACCTAATGTTTATGTATTACTATTAGCGAGGCTATTGGATGGTTTTGGAATTGGATTGGCAGTTACCCTAGTGCCACTCTACATATCTGAGACAGCTCCATCAGAAATAAGAGGATTACTGAATACTCTTCCCCAGTTCACTGGTTCGGGTGGAATGTTTTTGTCATATTGTATGATTTTTGGAATGTCATTGATGACAGCACCAAGCTGGAGATTGATGCTTGGGGTTCTTTCAATCCCATCACTTGCTTATTTTGCGCTAGCAGTGTTTTATTTGCCTGAGTCTCCTCGCTGGCTTGTAAGCAAAGGAAGGATGGTGGAAGCAAAACAAGTCCTGCAGCAATTGCGTGGCAGAGAAGATGTCTCAGGTATTCTATATTTCTACTCATATTGTTATTTCATTGCACATAATGATTGGGTTTCCGGTTTAAGATCCAATCTCGATCGGATGAACGAATCAACATGCAAGGGTTTCTGGTATTTGATTACTACCACCTCTATCCCAAAATTCTTGAGATGATCCTGCCACGAAAGTCACGTATGTGGAGGACGTTACCAAGGGACTTGAAAGTGCTCCGGCTGCTCTGGTCGGCCTTTTCTCTTGTCAGAATGTTGGGAAGCAGACAAAGCAGTTGGTTGCCATTTCCCATGAATAGTTGTCGTTAGTGTTCTGAATGTGTGTATATTCCATGCCTATGTTGTCTTCCATTTTCACCAGAGGGATGCTGCCTGTTCTTTTAAAGAACGTTATTACATGGGATATAGGTTCAGTTAAATTTCTCATATCCAATGTTTATTAGATCATGGGATTGATGGGCTTATATATGTATGAGATGAACCTCACCCTGAGGGTCTTTTTGGTGGTGAGTTAGACCCAGCTTTGATATCAAAATGTGGTCTAATTGTGGTTTGTTTATCGACTTGACATTCCACAGCTTAGGGTAGTTCGTTAGAGTCGATTGAGTGTACTCATGCACCCTCAAGTTTTCCAGTTCGATTTGAGTATGAGTACCTCAAAGGATACTTTTAATATGAGTTACTCCCAATTTAACACTACATATTAAAGTTACTCTGAAGGCATATCATCTGTTATATACATTGCAGTATTGCACTAATCCTTCTTTCACACACAAACAGGAGAGATGGCCTTGCTTGTTGAAGGTCTTGCTGTTGGTGGCGAGACATCTATAGAGGAATATATCATTGGTCCAGCTGATGAGCTGGGAGAAGATCAGGACCTAGCAGCTGACAAGGATCATATCAAGCTGTACGGACCTGAGGCTGGTCTGTCATGGATTGCCAAACCAGTTACTGGACAGAGCAGTATCGGGCTTGTATCCAGGCAAGGAAGCATGGCAAACCCAAGTGGTGTCCCTCTTATGGATCCCCTTGTGACTCTCTTTGGCAGTGTTCATGAGAAGTTCCCGGAAACAGGAAGCATGCGTAGTATGCTGTTCCCTAATTTTGGCAGCATGATAAGCACAGCAGAGCATGGGAAAAATGAACAGTGGGATGAAGAAAGTCTACAAAGGGAAGGCGAGGAGGATTACACATCAGATGCTGCTGTGGATGCAGCAGACTCAGATGACAACTTGCATAGTCCATTAATCTCACGGCAAGCGACAACTACAGAGAAGGATATTGTCCCTCCCACATCTCATGGAAGCAGTCTGAGTATGAGACGCCATAGCACCCTTGTACAAGGAGAAGCAGGTGGCGGCATGGGCATTGGTGGTGGCTGGCAGCTTGCATGGAAGTGGTCTGAAAGAGACGGGGAGGATGGGAAGAAAGAAGGAGGTTACAAAAGGATTTATTTACACCAGGAAGGCGGCGTCCCTGGTTCTTCTCAGCGTGGCTCCCTTCTTTCACTTCCCGGAGGTGGTGATGCTCCTACCGAAGGTTGCGAGTACATACATGCTGCTGCTTTAGTGAGTCAGAGTGTTCTTTATTCGAACGAAGTCATGGATCAGCAGCATCCAGATGGACCTGCAATGGTTCTTCCCTCAGAGATTGCTCCAAAGGAGGGGCCTGGATGGGCTGCTCTTCTTGAACCAGGAGTCAAGCGTGCACTAATAGTTGGCATTGGGCTTCAAATTCTGCAGCAGGTAAAAGCTTTTGGTTACGTTATTCTTTATTTTATTAAAACTTACTTTTTATTTATTAATTTATGGTATCGGTTAAATTTTCACATAAAAATTATAGACGATGAGTTTATAAGAGCTTGGATCGTACTAGCCTAATGGGATTCAATCTTTTAGGATGGTTTGACCCGAATGTCTTATGATTTAGTTGGATACCCCAAATGTAATCTTGAATTTTATCTGTGTTAGAGCAGGTTTTGCCCACTTTGTTTGGCTGATCCTCCATCTTGAAAAGTCCTTTGGGGCTATCCATGAGATTGACATTTTAATAAACCACGGGTTGAAGTGTTGAACTAGCTAATATATTAGATTCAATCTTCTATTGTGATTTGGCCCTTCCCAATCCAACCTGAATTCTATTTCTATCATCAGTATTTAGTGTTTTAATGGATTGACCTAATGAGTTTTTCACAATGACATTCCCTTATAAAGCTACCATGGTGCTTGTGGGGGTGGGTGGGGTGGGTGGGTATTGAGGTTTCACATGGCTCGGCAGGTGCAACCTTGATGTATAACAAGACCATCTGCTCTTCTCTTTCGTTTTTCTTTCCTTTGGAAGTTAAAATATTAGCTTTCCTTTGATATATCCTTTTTGCTTAAGGGAAATCACTTTTACCTGACTAAGGCACTTGATGATGTTTGTTTTGCAGTTTTCTGGTATCAATGGGGTGATGTATTATACCCCTCAAATTCTTGAGCAGGCTGGTGTTTCTGTTATCCTTTCTAACCTAGGCCTAGGATCAGATTCCGCATCATTCCTTATCAGTGGTTTTACGAACCTTCTAATGCTTCCTTCTATAGCTGTTGCTATGCGGTTCATGGACGTTTCGGGTAGAAGGTAACATCCATTAAATGTTTTTATTTTCCTGCCCCTGATCCTTTCATTTAAGATTAGTTTTGTTTTCGTTATATTTTTATTTTTTGGAAGAATTTTAGTCCGCACACTACTTTTTCATTCAATTTGAGTTTGAAAATCTTCAAATTTTAAACCCCAGAGTTAGAAAAATCTGTTGAAATGGGGTGGAAACTCCTATTTGGAATTTAAATGGGCTGTCAACTACAAGTTTCAGTGTATAGAATATAGATATTAATTGGAGTTTGCACCCCACTTTTTCATCCGAATTTGCCCGGTTGCACCCAATTTTGGAAATTACTAATATATGCATTCCATTTTTTGAAATTTCTGAGGTGCAAACTCCAATTTGAAAGGAAAAAGAGGATACAAATACAACTCAAGTTTTAAAATTGGATGTCAATAGTGGCGTGCACACTCGAATTCTCCCTAATTTAAAAAATTGGGGTGAAAAATCAAATTCAGTTGAAAAGGGGCTTACAATCTTCAATTCACCCTTTATTTTCCCCCGACTGAAACATAAATTATTAAATATCAAAATAACCGATTTATTTCAGGACGCTGCTGCTTTCTACAATCCCCGTTTTGGTAATTTCTCTCATCGTACTTGTTATCGGTAATGTTGTTGACCTTGGCACCATGGCTCATGCCATCCTCTCCACCATCTGTGTAATTCTCTACTTCTGCTGCTTTGTGATGGGCTATGGACCAATCCCAAATATCATGTGTGCGGAAATCTTCCCTACAAGGGTCCGTGGCCTTTGCATTGCGATTTGCGCTCTAGCTTTTTGGATATGTGACGTCATTGTTACCTATACATTGCCAGTGATGCTCAGTTCAATAGGGTTAGCCGGGGTATTTGGTATTTATGCTGTAGTATGTGTTATTTCCTGGTTTTTCGTCTTCCTGAGGGTTCCAGAAACCAAAGGCATGCCCCTTGAGGTCATTACAGAATTTTTTGCTGTTGGTGCAAAACAAGCAGAAATGACCAAAGATTGAATTGTGAGTCCTCTCTCAATGCAAACAATTAGAATTCCATTCATGGAGTTTCTGTATTGTTGTACTTTAGTGTTATTTATATTTGTTATTAATAAAGTTGCAGTGTTTGTGTAAATCTTTAAGTAGTTACCCATCCATTTATTGATTATATTGCCTTTTTGGATTGTATCATTTTTAATGTTCTTTAGAAATTGATGCTATAGCTATGTTTTGCTAGCTAACTAACAAAAGAATGTCCACCATCTGTGTAAAAAACCCAAATGGTTTGAGGATTGGGGGCCTGGGGGGACAGGGGGTGAGAGTTATTTGTTAGATAAATTTTTACATTTAAATGGTTAGAAATCAAGTGAAGTAAAAAAAAAAAATCTAAAATTACATGATCTAACTGCTCTATTTAGTTTAAAGCAAGTAAATAGAGAAATAAATTAGAAAAAAAATATGGTCCCCTTCCCTTCCCTCCAGTATCTTCAAAGCAAACATGAGATGCATAATACTTGAAGGTTCCTTGTGAGTTTAATATTAAGATAATTTGGTTTTACTATCATATAATCCGTACTTCGTATATTTCAATTCTTAACGTGGGTAATTAGTTCCTTCTTACCCACTTTGATCTTCATAAGAACGTTAAGGTGATGTTTACTTTTTTTCCATTAATTCCTGAATGGATAAAGACGTATGTCTGTATTAAGTGACACTGAGATAACAAGTTGTTTACTATGTGTGGTGAATGAGAAGTCTGAATTACATTTGCCCAAAACAGCTCCAAAAAAGCTCAAAGAATGAACAGTAGCGTTCCAAAGCAAAACAGCTCCAAAAAATCTGAAAATTTAGTATGTTGTTCGTCTAGGGAAGACAATCATCTCTGTATCTTTAGATTTTCCTTAGCCCCAGCTAGGGATGGACTCGGGTCCGGGTCGGGCCTAGGCCCGGGCGGGCCGGCGGGTCAGAAATGGTGGACCCGGGACTGGCCCGGGTAACCACCGGGTCCGGTCCGGGTCCGGTCCGGGTCCGGGCCCGGTCCGGGTCCGGGCCCATTATATTTTTTTTTGTTTTCCTCTTCCTAATTAACCCCCCTCCCACCCCCAACCCTCCAAACCACCCCAAATGGCCCAAAATACCCAGCCCAACCCGAAAATTTAAAAAAATTGAAAAAAAAAATAGTTTTTGGCCCGAACCGGGCCCAGGCCCGGCCGGGTCGGGCCTTGTTTTGGGTGACCCGAGCCTGGACCGGAAAACCCACGGGTCGGGCCTACCCGGACCCGTCACTGACCGGGCCACCGGGTCGGGCCGGGCCGGAACAGTACCGGTCTCGGGCCGGTTCCGGGTCAGGCCACCCGGCCCGAGTCCATCCCTAGCCCCAGCCAATCAACACCAGAATTAAAAATACAGTCCGTCCATGAACAGTTGCAACAGATTGCAAAACAGCTCGAAAAATTCTGAAATTTCAGTATGTTGTTCTCCTAGGGAAGACGAGCATCACTGTATTTTCAGATTTCTCATAGCCATAGCCAATCAACACCAGAAATAAAAAAATCAGTCTGTCAGTGAACAGTTCCGCGAAGGAGAAATCAACTCGTTTCTTGGATTTTTTAGTCGTAAGAACTCATTCCAAACTCAAATCCAAGGTCAGAAGTGAACTTAGGAGATGATTTCGACTAAAAAACACCTAAAATCTGAAGTTAAATCCACAAATCCATTGAAGGAGGAAGTCACCTATGTGGGGATGAAGCGAAGATGTCGTATGCGGAGATGTCTGAACCGGGAGGAGTATTAAAATTGGGCTGAATCATAAAGTCAGATATGGTCTGACCGAATAAGTCACTCTATCAATTAAGTTACAAATAAACACAATGATATAGCTGTACGAATAAGTCCTGATTTCCATTCAGCCCATTAAGTCATAAGTAAATGGGGCCTAAGGTTAGTTACTAAATATTCCACTTTACTCCCTAGTAACTCTGATTAGCTTAGTATTTCCATTCTCTTTTGGGTAATAAAGGTTTAATTACTATGCTGAATTATCTGATATAATTATAGTAGCTTGCATTTGTGGGCAAGAGTTCTGCTCTTCTCCTATCAACTGTCAAGAAGTTGTCTGATATTTTTAACCTTGAGGCAATGGACGCTTATTCGATCATTTTGGACGATTTTTTAACAAGATTCATACGTTAGAGAATGGGTTTTTAGTAACTTGTTTTGCTTCTCCCATCCCTGATTTGTAATTGTAGTTTTTACTTGTTAGTCCACACTCTTTGGAGGAATTATCTTGATAGATTTCTATTTAGTCAAATTTAAACCATCCATATAAACTAATTTCTCCTTCTAATACTGATTTGCACTTTGCGGTTTTCAAGATTGATTGATGAAACATTTAAACCCTCCTTGCAGAATTCCAGATAGTTTAAACCAGTTTTAATAAATACAAATTATATATTCAGAAGCTACATGAGAAAGTACGGGCTTTGTAAATCAATTTGGACTTTTTGCATTCTGATGTTTAGTGTGGTTAGCCTGTAAACTGCTGCTAGCCTGCTACTGTCAAGGTTATTGTTTTGCTTTATATATCATCACTTCTCAACTTTCAAGGGATAATCACAAAGAGAGCAAGTAGTAGAAAATACGTAGTATAGAATAGCTTTTATTCTCAACAGAATTCCTTTTTATTGTCTTGATTATCAACCTTTTGTCATTTTCGTATCTGAATTTTACTCTTCGATAAAACTTTTAGTTTTTTTACCCGGGGGTTGGGGGGCTTGAGGTAAACAGGGCTGAATCTCTCTCTATGGAGTTTCAAACTTGATTCCTCCCGTAATTAGGTAGAGTGAGTCAAGGATCAGTTGAGTTAGACCGCTTCCTCAACTAGGTTAATTACTCAATATATAAACTTAGTTACTATCCCGTAAGGTAGGGAGAATTAAATTTATAATTGATCAACAGTAAATTGCAAAAGAATTTAGAAGGGAGGTAAGTATGTAGATTTGGTCCATGTTATCAGGCTAATGGTAGCTTGGGACAAAGATTTAAGGCTAAATAGTCAAATAGGCCCCTGTACCGGTCGTGTAAGCTCAATTCAATCCCTAAACTAAAAAAAGGTTCAATTCGCAATCGGAACAAAAAAAAAATGGTTCAAATTTTATTTTTACGGGTAAATAACCGGTCTTTTTTTAAATCTTTTTATTGTTTTTGTTTTTTTTATTGCAAATTTGACACTTTTTAATAGTTTACAGGTGCGAATTGGATCTTTTTTACCGCTTGTTTACCTATAAAGAATGAAATACAAACCCTTTTTTGCCGGTTCGGGGTGCGCATTGAACCATTTTAGTTCAGAGACTGAATTGAACTTACACGACCGTTACATGGACCTATTTGACTCTTTAGCCAAGATTTAAGCATACATGGTTCTGTAGAAAATAGGTCTCTGTTCAAAGGATTAAAGACCAATCATTTTATTCACCATATTCTTTAAAGGTATTAATAAACATCGGGCATACCATTTTTATACGTGAAAAAATATGAAATTTAATCGAGCATACCCATTTTTATATTCTCATTCAAGTATTGGAATTTGAATTCTCATATTCAATTCAAAATCAAGAAAATCAAAATGATTGGGTTCACCAATAAGTCAATAACACTTACCAGCACATGCCAAAAGAGGGCAAGATGTGATATTTGAGGAATATAATGTGCCCCAACCCTCCACCTAGATACAGTCAGCCACATTTTTAGTGAATGAGAGAATGTGATATGCAATGTATGGAATATGATCTTTGAGTGTCAATAATTATAGCTTAATAATACTTCCTTCGTCCCATAATTAACTTAGCATGGTGATTAAGAAGGTGAAATTGTGCGGCCAAATGGTGTAAAGATAAAAGATAAATATTGTGAATCAAAGATTACTTGGCACAAAAAAGTTTATATTAGGATAGACGAAAAATGAAAGACGAAAAATGAAAAAATGAAGTTTATTCTAGGAAGGAGAGGCTGTGGCGGAGCCACTCATGTTCAAAGGTATTCACATGAACACCCAATTTTTTTGAAAAACATGTAGGTATATATGTGTGAATTTGCTGTAATTATTTATTACTCTTTAAATTTGTAATTGTAAAAAAACATTGAACACCCAAAATCTAATTTCCAAATTCGCCACTGAAGAGAGGGAGTATTAAGTATCTAACATTACCATTTGTATGATGACAATCTATTTTACTATGCCAACGACCAACCACTTATATAAATGGGACCACTGTGACACTGTTTTGCTACAGGCTTTCCTTGGTCCAAAAGGTTGAATGCTATAGGCTTTCCCTATGAATGAGAGTAGTGCTATTATTCGAGCCGAGCCCGAGCCCGAGTATCATAAATTCGAACTCTACTCGCTCATTTTTTGAGTCTGGCTCGAGCTTGGCTCATTAAAATTCAATTCTATATTTGAGCTCGAACTCGACTCGTTAATATACCCGAGTCAAGCTACTCGAGCTCGAACTCGACAACTCGTTAAAGTGGGTCTAATCTCCTATACGGCTAAACCTAATATGCTATAAAATGACAATTTTGCCCACCTCACGAGCCCTATCACGAGCTTCACCGGGTTTTTCGAGTCAAGCCAGCTCGGCTCGTTAACCTTATCGAGTAAACCGATGAGTTCGAGCTCGACTCGTTTTCTCGAATATACGAGCCGAGTCCGAGCTTAATCGAGCCGAGTCGAGTTCAAGTGAAGTTCAATTTCTACAACAACACTAAATGAGAGGCTTTTGCTGCCGAAGTGTGAGCTAGAAAACAAAACATGAAGAGGGAGGGGTCCGGGGGCGGAGCTAGAGCGGAGCCAACCTAGATCCTAGCCCACCCCAAATTTAAAAAATGGGTAAATTTTAAAGATAAAAAATATCGGAGCCAACCTATATACTCTCTCAAAATTTAAAAATTGGCTTAATTTTAAAGATAAAATTCCGATACATTGGGTCCTAGATTGATAGCTTTTCGTCATTCGAGTCTTATACCGATACATTTCATCTTTCAGGTCCCAGATTGATGATCCGTCTATCTTTCAGACCCAGATTGAAAAAATTCCAAATAATTCCAAATAATTTCATTTTAATTCCAAATAAAACCATTCCAAATAATTTCATTTTAATTCCAAATAAAACCACTTTATCTAGAGCATTGAGTTGAAATGAAGTATTGCCACCAACACTGAATTATGATGAGCTGTTTTATGATCATCTTTTTCGCCCCCTCCATCCTAAAATGAAGTCTCTCTGATGAGGATAAAGTTAATCATTCCATAACAATATTTAGATTTGCATAAATAAATAAAAATTTTAAATTTAGAAACTGCACTTACGTAACACTGTCATCTTGTCACGTGTCAAACACTTTATCATGAAAAAATTAAACCAGTCATGAGAAAAAAAATAGTGTCCAATAATGACAAATCCTGTAAAACCGTTTTTGTATTTTTGAATATGATAACAGTTGGATAGAGTATATAAAATTGAATATAAAAGAGTTTTGTTGAAGGCAGAAAGAGTAGACTGAATCACTTATACTGCCCTTCACATTGTAAACCTAGTAGTACTATATTTTAAACTAGTAATTTCGTTGCACGAGCGTAGGGTTGGATAAGGCCCAGTTCTTCATCGAAACTGGAATGGTTAGGATGTTCTTACTTGGATTGTTTTCAGTCTCAGATCAGACAAGACCAGACTTAAACAGACTAGACCGGACTTATACAGACCAAATCATGAATTTTTATCCAAAATTTAATTTTGAAATTTGAATTCTAAAGACGGACTCCTTCATCGTCCATGTATTCACATTCATTCGAATTAAGAGAGACAAAGGTTTTGAAGAGGGAAATTCAGGAGGAAGAACCGAAGAAGAGAGGTGGGTAAGGAGTTTAACAATAAAACAAGTTCCAGGTCACATTGATCTATTTTGAAGAGGGTATCTCTTAAATTTGGATTTATCAGGAATTATATAATATATACGAGATTAATATAAGAAGGTTTCCATATTACAATTCACTGACCGACACAAAGTTGGTGTGATCGAAAGTAAAAAAAAAAGGCATGACTTAGAGCATCTCCAATGTAAAAATGTGAACTGTGCATACGTGGCATGAGAAATAGCCAATTAAAAAATACGGAGTAACAAATAGAATATCTCTCTCCCTCTTTCCACGGTCATATATATTTTTGGTAAGTTTTTCTTAACAATGTAAACCACAATGTCTACGTCTAGACATTGTGCTTGACATTGTGGAAAAATACTTACCAAAAGCATATACGACCGTGGATAGGAGAGAGAAAAGTCGAAAATTTAATCATTTGTGTCTATCTCTCTCATGCCACATGTACCAATTAGTAGTTTAGTACCAATTAATTTAGCGAGCACCTTTATTGGCGTAATGGCGTGGTATGTGGAATTGTGGAGGATTAACCCATCTTTAAAAGTGGATCAAATTACCATAATACCTTTGGCTAGACTAGATATTAATAATGTGGATCAAAGTACCATAATACCTTTGGCTAGACTAGATATTAATAATGTGGATCAAATTACCATAATACCTTTGGCTAAACATCCCAAAAGAAGGGTAGAAAGGTAACTTCATATATATAACCTGTTAAGTAACCACTATTTTTGACTTATCAACCTTAACAACCAATTTCGTTATCAAACAAGAATTGTTTTTACTGTGTTTAAATTGTTAGAGTTACTTTTCTGACAGAATTGGTTAAAATTCAAAGGGAAAACCACCTTAACTGTGTTTCATATACATTTTTTTCATTTTATTAATAAAATATATTGTGCATAAAAAATTTACATGTGAACTTGTGAAGTTAATTTAGCCAATTCCAATATTAACAAACCGCTCACAGACTCACTGAAATAACAAAAGTTCAGCAATGGGATAAACCACCTTTAATTGTCATTAATTCATAGTTCCATACACAGGATACACAAGGTTTTACCCATAAGCTTCAAACCAAATCTCTCATATTTGCAGTCAAACGCCGTGTTTGAGGTTTCCACACGTTGCCAGCAGCTTGTTCGTTTTAGACGGAACCACAGCCAGATTTTGATTCAGAATAGCTAGATTCACATTCTTTCATTTTGATCCTCCGACTTCAGCCGTGTTTTAAATGGCCCCTCCAAGTCTTTGGCGCTTGCAGGATCTATTACTAGTTTGTTCACATTTTGATCCTGTCAAACCATATACATTCAAAAATTGTTCAATATATACAATACTTCGTATATCAGTAACAATATATAAATGCTCATAATCCCATAGCTTTTCTTACAGCATAAATTATACAAGATAAAATTATTAATGCACAAATGTTGTCTGTTAAAAAAACAATGCTAATATGTGGAATCATAGATTAGACAAAGTGAGAAACCATTTTTCACATGAAATGGAAAAATCTGGATTATATGTTTTTTTAGATGTAATGCCAGATTAGTCATGATGAACAATGCTGGGTTTATTATTAGTTTATAAGAACAACTATTCTTAAGTAGCTATTAGCTTTTATGCACAAGAGACTAACTGCAGACATCACAATGGTGCTTTTTATTGTGACTTTCCCAAACATGAGTCTTGCAAACATTTATGCAAAAAAAAAAAGCTATTTGCTTTTATGAAACAATACATAACTAAACATTACTCCTTAGTCTTTAGCCTTAGGTTCCCAAAAATCTCTCTTTTGAGGCTTGAGCAGGGAAATGTAAACAAGAAATAATACGCAATTCTATAGAATATATCCCCAAACGGATATAATGGACCTGTACTAATTATTGATGTTCTAAATTTAGAAAACATAAGTCTTGTAAACATTGAAAAAAAATAGTAATGCTCCTTTATTTTAGCAGATATTTCAGTACATTTTTTCTTTCAAAAGCAGTGTTGTAAAAGATAGGCTAGACCGCCCCTTTGGCCTAGTCACCAGCTAGCTAGATGCTTTCAGATGCTCCCAAGCACTTTTAGCTATCATTTCCTTCTGTAAATGCTCCACTTTTTCGGTAATTCATTTTTTGTGAAAAATACTAGAAACAAAGGTAAGGGGCCGAGTCAACATAAACTAGGAGCTGGTCAAGAGCCGATTAGGGCATCAAGCAATTTCTACAAACATGTCCACAAGACAAAGATTCGGTAACACAGGGAGTAGTTGATGTAAAGTGACACTGGGAAACAATATCATTATATCTGCGATTCTCGAGCAAAGATTTGCAATTAACAATATCATTATATTCTGATTCCTGCACTTAAACCAAACTTTTAGTCACACCTTATGTGAGGCAAGTCAGCAACTTGTATTTTGGAGCACGCTGTGTTATTTGCTGCTCTGTAAGGACTAACTTCCATTACTCAAATAAACTTTTTTTACTTCAATGAAAAATATAACTACTACTCATAGTTCATAATTCACATATTAGCATGCACTTACATGCTGAAGCGCCTCAAGCTTTTTCTGTAGAGCTTCATGCTCTGCCTGGATCCGAAATGGAACACCATGCTTTTGATAAACATTATTTTGAGCCAGGTCTTCATCAATATCACTTTCTGTGGTTGCAAAAGGGTGATTTGTTGGAATCCACCTGATAGTATCCGGGTCTACATCAGGAGGTATTGAGTCACCTTCTCTAAGAAACAGTGACGGCCTCCTCCATTGATAGGCATGTGACCTCCTCTTCTGATGTATAGCTTGTTGCTCCCTTGTAAGAGTCACTGGCACTAATCGGTATACTTTTCCACACATCTCAACAGTTGAATTGTTCTTACTGATCTTCACCATTGGGTTATTAAAAGGGTCTTCATACTTCAGAGGACTACTGCTGCAATTTAGGACAACGAATTGAGGAATGAAAAGGAGGATGAATTCAAAGTTACCACTGATTAGAGTAGCTAGATCATAGACTAAAATTAGGCCTTAATATGAGAGAAGATTGTATAAATAGTCATTTGAGGATTGCAAATTAATATCACAAATACAGTAAAACTGCTACGCTCCAATTAACATCACTGTTAACTACTTAACTGAAGTATAAAACATACTAAATTACTAATTACACAAAATAGATCAAAAAGTTTCGAACCATACATGCCTCTTCTATCAGATCTCAACTGACCACGCCTAACAAGATCAGACACCGTGCCAGGGGTGACATTTCTTGGTGTGCTAATCCTATGATTTCTCACAGCAATAAGAAGGCATGTTGCTATGAAAAATAGACCAATTGCAAAACCAGCACCTGGATACTTTTTCATCTGCAAAGGAATAATATACATATGACTGAAATGAGTATAAAAAGATAATGTAACATCAAGATCTTTTTATTCTCAATTAATCAGATAACCCTATTAGTAGTATCTAGTATGCATCAACACAAAACCTATGCCAAGCTCTGGTGTAGTTGTCTTTCATTTGCAAAGGAATAATATTCAAATGAAGAAAGTTGGGATGTTTACCAATCAGTACAGTGAAGAAAAAAGGAATATCCATGGGACCCACAAAGAAATCGGTTCTCTCCTATGTAGCATACTTCATTGGAGTACCGTATCCACGTAACTGAAACGTTTCCATATCAGATACTCAAGGATACTCAAACCGTACATTTGAGGTCGTATATGAATTTTCTAAGAGTTCCAGAATATAAACCAGATAGCGTATTATATTTTTTAGAACTTTTAATCCCTTAAAGTATCAAGTTCTCTTTGTAGTGTATTTCCTGTCTACAAACTTTTAGTATATGTAGTTTTGTTTTCAAATTATAGTTGTTTGACTTGTTTCTATTTTGGGATTAGATACTATAATTCAAGATGTAGGTATATTTGAGATTATATGCACGAGAGTTTGACCTTATTTCAACTCTTGGTAATTCGAAAATGGTTCAATGCCATGGAATGAGCAGAAAATATACATGTATATATTTTCAAACAAGTCCGTGTTTTTATATTTAAAAATATATCCCCGTAATTTTTAATATTTACAAATAAACCCCCATACCCATATCCTATATCTTTTTATTTTATCGAATCCCAGTACCTGTTTCCGTGTTTCTGCATTGGTGCTACATAGCTTCTCTCTCATTTGCAAAGGAAGGGAGATCGTGAAGTTCACTACTACGTTTTGACATTTGTACCAACTCTTGTCAATTCAAAAGCACCTAATAGTTTAAGTCGTTTTGGGTTTTAAGGGTATTGCAGTAATTTATGAAATCATGTCTCTTATATTTCTTCCGTACTTTTCTCATTCCAAAGAATACAAAAAACAAGTAATCAACCCTGTTTTCCACTTACCAGATTCTTTCTCACATGTTTCTCTCTTCACTATTTCTTTCCTAATCCAAAAAGGGTAAGGCCTCATTATTATTTTCATATCAGAACAATCAATAGCTAATTGTAATGGAGCAAAAAGCATTGGATAGCTGTCCCATGGTGCCAAATGGCATCCAGCAGAAAGTCAGCTATGGATTAGTCAAATTATAATATTGAGGTCTAATGTTGAGTGATCTCTAGCCAGAGTAGAATGCACTTCCTTGGAAAAGTGGGTTCAGTTCTAATAAGATTACCACACAAATAAATCATTAGCTTAGCCGCTCAAACTAAGCTGCTACTTGAGCTGAATTAATAGAACTGCAATTCAAACTAAAGCAAGAGAAGCAGACCTAACAAGTACCAAAGATATAGTCTTTATATAAGAATGAACAAGATATTTAACTATTTACCAAGGACACAATAGGAGGAAAAGAGGATTCAGTCACTTGCAATTTAGTAACCACAATGGTTGGATTTAGTAAATTCTCATTCTTAGATTCGACTAGGTTGCTTTCCTCCCGCAGTTGCTTGCCAAAATCACTAATCACTGGACCACGTGCAGCTCTCAACTCGATCTTTTTAAAAGTGTGGTTTATTTTCAATCTTTTGTAGCTCTGGTCGAGCCACAATCTAGCTCTTGGTTCTATTAGGCTTGGCGAAATTAGATGCTGCAATGGATATTCAAACGCATTAATATTAATCTGAAGCATCAATCAAGTACATACAAGCCACAATCTAGCGCTTTGAACCGATTGTTACCTGAAAAGAAACACTATGAAGCTGAAGGGTCCAAATCGAAGCCATTTTCGGTTGCTCTCATTCAAAGAACAAAAAGCGCATTTTCCCTGAAAATTGCAAAATTAGGGTTTGCTTGGAAGAGGGAAAATCTAAAATGAAGCGCAGGATACCGGAAGAGAGGCACAGGCAAACTGGGCGACTTTCCATTAAGTAAAAACAACGACCAGGCACAAAACAGAACACTGCGAACGAAACCCAATCCCCAAATCCCCCAAGCAGCAGCTACGAAGGACGAAGGACGAAGGACGACCGAGACATTTCCAACTCCGGCGAACTTCCATATCCGACGACCCCACTCCGGCAAACCTCCATCTTCATCTTCAACACTCTTTCTTCTTTCTTGTAGGTAAATCAAACTCCATTTCATCTCATTTTTAACTTAGAGTTTTGATGTTAAAATTTTGGAATTTTTAGATTATGAAATGTTGAAATTTGATTTGAAATTGATTGTAAATTTTAAAGTGTATTTTGACATTTGGGCATTTGGGTGGATTTGAATGTAGCTAAATTTGGGTATTGAAATGTAGACTTGAATGTAGATATCAAAATTTTGGTATTTTCATATTGAAATGTGAGTTGTTTGTGAATCTTGACTTTTGGATATATTTGAATTGTTATTAGAATATGAATTTCTCAAGCTTCCCAATCGTGTGTCATTGGGGAGGGAACTATTATGAGGATGTTGGTCAAATATGCCATGAAGGTGGTACAACCACATTTGTCATGGCTTGTTGTGGTGCTTGCATGCTCGAGACCCTTCAAAAAATACATACAGCCACAATGATTCATCCTAGCCAAAATGAAATTTCCCATGAACGGGGGAAAGTACATGCTTATGCCCCTCACTTATGAGCTAGCTATAACAAATATGTGGGCCATAGTTCAGATGGAGGACATGTCAATGCTTGAGATATACATTGAGGAATCCATATGTGATGCTTATCGTACTCCATCAACATCAAATGTTGTTGTATCTAGGCATTATGTCAATGCATGTGTGAATGCTGGGAACTCCTCAAATGCTCCTGTAATGGACATGGTTATACAGGAAGATGGTAGGTATTTGCACAACGGTGCATCATTTGTGGATGGGCAGGGAAGTGATGATGATGCTGACGACAACATCAATGGTGAAGATATGACAGAATCTGATGAAGATGATGGTGATACGGTCACGACAACTGCCCTGTCTACCCACTTTACTAGAATGTATGATCTCCCTGAAGGCTTTACTGATGCGTGGCTGAGTGGATCAGGTGAGAAAAGGTTTACCCCCGAAGGTGAGTTTGAGGTCGGTCAACAGTTTGACAACAAAGAACAAGTCATCAATATGGTGAGCTTGTATTCTATCAAACGGAACCAATTTTTTCGGGTGATAGAGTCCGATAAACACAAATGGGTGGCACAATGCAAAAGGAAGAAAGAATGTAATTGCCCCTGGAGAATACACGCCACAAAGAACAAAGGCAACCTTGACACCTTCACAATTGTGCGTTATCTTGGACCTCATTCTGCTACGTGTGTTGGGAACACCGACACTACCGATCACGCGGCTTTGACTTCAGATTTCATTTGTAAAGATGTGATTGACATTGTTCGCACTGATCCTTCCCTTAAAGTGCTTACTATCATTGAGATGCTGAAGGAAAAGTATGGGTATACGTTTATACGGTATCATACCGGAGAACATGGATGGGGAAGCAAAAGGCCATAGCAGAAATATTTGGCGGTTGGGAGAAGTCATATTCTGAATTGCCCCGTTTCATGACAGCGCTCCAACATTCAAATCCTGGAACTATTGTGCAGTGGTACCCACCCCCTAATACTCCCACATGTTATATGCAGTTTCAAAGAGTTTTTTGGGCATTCAAGCCATCAATACATGGTTTTAAGCATTGTCGACCCGTACTTACTATTGATGGCACACACTTGTATGGAAAGTACAAGGGTACACTGTTCGTGGCCATGAGTTGTGATGCGAACAACCAAATATTTCCAGTGGCCTTTGCAGTTGTTGAATCTGAGAATGGGGATAGTTGGCCATGGTTTATGGCATGTATTAGGCAGTTTGTCACTAACGGGAGTTGTGTGTCATTTCTAATCGGCATGGAGGTATTGTCAGGGCAATGAATGAGGTGGGAAGTACTTGGGAGGAGCCTTATGCGCATCATAGGCTATGTATTCGCCATCTTGCATCGAATGTGCACACTCATTTCAAAGACATTCATCTAAAAAATCTTTTTGTCTGGACCGCACGGTAACATCAGAAAAAGAAGTTTGATGGTGGGTTCAAGAAGATAGGTGAAATGAGTTTGGAGGCACGACAATTTCTGGGGAACATTCCCCCGGAAATGTGGTCATTGCACCACGATGGCGGGTACAGATACGGTATCATCACTTCTAATCTGACAAAGGTTTTCAATAGCGTGATGAAAAATGCTAGATATTTGCCCATCACCGCTTTGGTCCAGGTTTCCTTTTACCGGGTTAATGCTTATTTTGTTAATAGGCGTGAAACCAGTAAAATGAGAGTGACAGAAGGCCACGAGTACTCCCCATACATCACAGATTTAATTGATAAGAATAGAGAGAAGGCCAAGCATCACATAGTTACTCCATTTGATTTAGGCCGAGGGTTATTTCAAGTGGAAACCGGTTGTGGTGGCCGAACGTTGGGGAAGGGTGGGAGAAAACAAATTGTCCATCTGAAACGGAAAACTTGCACTTGTAAAAAGATGGAGATATATAAGATCCCATGCTCCCATGTGTTAGCCGTGTGCAGACAACGTAGCTTTTCTTTTGCTCCATTTGTGGATAAGTTTTTCTCATCTGACCAATACGCGGCCACATATCATAGAGTCTTCAGACCCATTCCTGATCGTGATTATTGGCCTACTTACAATGAACCTGAAATCGTGCACGATCCATCCATGCTTCGGGCTAAGGGAAGACCTAAGTCCACACGTATTAAGAATGAGATGGATGAAGGTCCCCGAGGAACGGTTAGATGTGGAAAATGCCACCAAACCGGCCATAATAGGGCCACATGTGCGAAGAGATCATCAAGACACGATGGGGGGTCCAGTGGGTAAGGTGTTAATTATAGTAATTCACAGTTCATCTCAGTGTTGCATGAAAACATATTAATTAATAAAATTGATGATTAAAAAAAAAGAATTAGTATAATAGTAAAAATTAACTAATACGATTTTGTTTGTTTGTAGGCATGCAGGTGACAGCGGATCCTAGGTCGAGTGATCAAGATGACCATGACAACTTCTACTTTGTCTTTTGTATTGCAGTTTTTCTTGTACAACATTTTAGATAATTTACAACATTTTAGATGTTGTAGGAACAATTTACAACATTTTACGTATTTTCTCTTGTATGTTGTATTTATGTGTTCGAGTATGAATATTAGATGATTAATTGTTATGAATGTTTGATGATTGTACTGTGTTTTACCGATGAGTTGTATGTGTTTATGTATGTGTTTGTGAACATGTGTGTTGTATGTTTTATAATGTGTTGCATCTCGCTCGTAACACTTAAACAGGAGAAGGGAGACCTTATTTATAGCAAAAAGACGAGTCTGGGTTGAAATGGGGTAAAAAACTGATGAAATTCTGTTTTCGGAATTAGGCACGATCGTGCCTACCCGTCCAGGCACGATCGTGCGTGGCTAGCAGTAGCTGTTGGTCTGCGTTCATATGGAATGGGAAAGTCGCCCAACGGTTAGGCGACTTATAAGTCGCCAAACCGTTTAGCAATTTATAAGTCGTCCAACCGTTGGGCGACTTTCCCTAACCATGGTTAAACCCAGCAGTAGATCGGTAAATATTTTTATACCAGCATTATTTTCGTAATTAATTAATTAATTAACATTAATTCGAAAAAAAACTCTTACAGATATAGATGAATTTCAGGGAAAATCAATACTCCCTCTCTTCCAAAGGGATAATACTTTCAACTTAACAAAGTAGAATAAAATTGAAAATTATAATTGTGGTTTAATAAGAAAAAGGTAAATTAATATTAATCATACTAAATTTTTTAGGACAGAAGAAGTCCTACGGTATATAAATAAGTGAATGTCTAATTGTCAAGACATTCAATTAAAAACCCCTTGAAAACACAATTAAAAACAACTACTCGGTATAAAAAAACTTCTAATAGTAAAAAAACTGACATTACAAATATTTCAATTTTCAAGAATCTTTTCAGTATTTTTAAATATCTCTAAATGTCTTTATCTTTCAGTTTTTTTTTGGGTATTATTCAAATTTTCTCCAAGACTTTTGAAAAAAAAACATTCTCTCTCATTTTAATATTCTAGATTGTCTAAATATGAAACTTGATGTGAATATTTTGATAATTTATCAAGGATTGAGTGTAAATATTTGAAGTTGTGCTTTGTGTGCACACTAATTTACATGTCACACGGCCAATTGTCCTCAAAATTACTATCCTTCGTAACGAGAATTCTATTTGTACACTTTTTATACACTTGTTTGTGTGCACAGATAGTTTGTTTAAAAATATCTAGATACACAAACAATTTGTTTACTTTTAGACAAATTATGCATGTACATAGACGAGTATATTCAATGTGTGCATAAATGCTATTTTACATGCCACATACACAATTATTTTAAAAAAATTACTACCCTTCATAGCAAGAATTATATATGTATACTTTTATTGTACACTTTTTATACACTTGTTTGTGTACATAGATAATTTGTCTAAAAATTATCTATATACACACAAATATTGTTCGTTTTAGACAAATTACCTATGCACACAAAGGAGTGTATATTCCCTTCATAATTGGTGCACCATTCAACCCATTGAGACTTAAATCTCTAGTCCATTAGAATCTCAATCTTTCATCGTTCTCTACTTCCCCATTAATTAACTATTTTAAAGCTAAATAAAATGTTGTCTAAAACATTGTCGCTCGCTAGGATCATCTGAAAATTATCCAATTTGAGTCTCTCAATTTTAAAAGTAAAAACGTTTAGTGGTAACAGTTCCAAAATAAATTATTTTTATGATATAAAGCATCCTTGTATATTTGCATATGTTATCAAATGCAGAGTAAATCCTTATATTGTTCATATTTATAATAGATATTGCCCAATATAGGAGTAAATATAAACATAATTGCAAAAATAGGAGTAAAATATAAAATTTCCTTCGATAGGAGTAAACATTAATTTTGTACTCTTAATATCCCTAACCTAGTTAATTCTAAAATATGACTTATTTAATCATAACCTAGTTAATTTATGACTTATTCGATAATAATTTATTTATTTATTTATTTTTCAAAAAATAAAAAAATATAATTTTTTTAAAAAAATAAAAAACTCAAAAAAATAAAATAAAATTCACCGCCGCCTCTGCCGCCTCAGCACCACCACATCCAGTCACCAGGGGAAAAAATGCCAAGTTCATTACGAATGCCATATTTATGACAGAAAACAATGAAAATGTTGACATTCGCAAAGAGAAATATGCCATGTTTTTGGCATTTTCAGAAAAAAAAGCAATTTCTAGGAAAAATGATTTTTTTTTTCACCACCCGGAGGTGGTAGTGCAAGGAGGTAGTGGAGGGAGGCGGTGGGAAAGACATCCATATTTTTTTTAATTTTTTATGGAGTTTTACTATTGTTTATTAATTTTTAAAAAAAAATAAAAATTTTATTTTTTTATTAATATTTTATAAAATTTTTAATTATTTTTCTACGATTTTTTGAATTTTTTTCGAATTTATTATGACTTAAACATTTAATTAAAAGTTGTTGGGGCTTGGGTAGGGGTATACTTGTCCAAACACTAAAATTACTCCTATTCAAAATATGGTAATCCTATTTTTGCATTTTGCCTATTTGGGGAATTCTCTCTATTTATAATCAGACCCTAGTGTCGGTGTGCTATATTTTAATTGAGTGACGTTTTCTTGTGTCCCTGTATCGCCATGACTGTGTATATAGTACTCCGTATGATATGAGTAGGGATTAGAGAAAGGATTAGAAAATGATTTAGTGAAAGCTCAGAATATTCCATATTCACATTTACTCCTCGGGTGTATTGCGCTAACACCATAAGGTTATTCTTTTCAAAAAACATCACTCTATCGGTTTCTTGAATCGTTTTCTATGAAGTACGGACACAGGAAAACATCTATGAAGTATGTATTCAAGTTCAAGCAGGCAAGCACATTGAAAAGAGAACCAAAAAGGCTCATTGCGAAGAAAGGTCGGGGCTACTAAAAAAAGTCTCTCTATTGCATCACATCAAAATTTAAATCCAACTATTCGACAAGAAAAAGTTCAATAAGTTTGTTGGAGGTCAAGAAAAATGACAAGTATGCAAACTATATCTCATTGATTATTTCAAGAAGATCATCAACTTCCTGCCGCAAGGATGTAATTCTTTCCTGGATTTGAGCAACACGTTTTTCGATGTCATGCCCCCCTGACTTTTTCTCATAACAATCTATGACTAGCGAATGCTTCAGTGCCAGTTTCTCTTGGAGTTCTGTTTCCTTCTTCACCAGCTCTTCAACCTATACAATCAGTATAAAAGGATTAGTCTGCCACAATAGTTAGCACACCCGTGATAATAATAAAAGCATTAAACGATGTGTGGGTGACTCTTATGCCGCTGAATGTTTAATTGAGAAAACGTTACCCACACATTAAAGACACACATACAGTATATTTAATATATACACTTATATGAGAGCTTTCCTGTGTCAGAAAGGGGAGGGGTGTATTGTGTGTTTCTGGCTACTTCGTGCGCGTACATAACTAAGCAATTGTTACTCGTTTGTGAATAAAGTGCCTTGAATGCAATAAGGTAGCACTGGAGAATAATGGTAGCACTTGGCAATAAGATGGATGAGCATGAACCTTGGGGCAGATTGAAGCAGCCAGTGGGAAGGACTGCAGTGATGACAGTAAAGGCTTCAAGCCCTTGGAAAGCTCTTTCAAAGTGCCCTCAGCTTCTTTTCGAGCAGCTTTGCAAGCTTGAACATCCCCTGTCCTTGAGAGATCACGCAGTGATGATTCTAGTTTATCATGAATAGTCAAGCAAGAGCTTATGATGGTCTCAGCTTCCTGAATAACAGTCAGCACCTGGAAAACAAAGTAAATAAACATGTCATCCTAGTTGGATAACTAAGCAAACAATAATGTCCACCGAAACGAAAATCAATAGCATCTGCCCCAAACCTCATCCCATTGCTTCTTTGCCAAATAAGAAGCAGAAGACTTTGAGATTGTCAAGTCAGCATGCATATAAATTATGCATGTGAGGAAAAAGAAGAAAAATCCAGAAATTAACATCATTGGTTCCCTAAGCAGTGAGAAGCTGTTGAACCGGTAATACACCTGTTAAGCAAAATAGATAAATATGAAGTTGTGATGAGGGCAAAAACATAGAAAAATGAGAAAAAGCAGTCAATATGCACATGTTAATGTAAGCTCTTTCAGTGAAGCCTACAGCGTATTATTCAAAATGGAAATTAATAGAGAGAAAGTAAGAAGTAGCATATCAGTAAACCACAGCATTACCACATTAGCCAACTAAAGTAATTACTGTTCTCCTATTTTGTGAGAACATATGTTGAATATCTTGAGAATAGAAACCAAGCACGCATTTGGCACAACCTATAGCATACTCCATGTACTTAACTTCATACCTATTTAGCAACATCAATTCTATCTTTCTTCATGTAGCTCTCCTATGATTATATGTGTATTAGTAAAGCTTTGAGATTGATATGATCAAACCAAATCAAACCTTTTTCTTGATCAGGTATCAAACCTTTCACAGGCCAGAGGATATTAGCGCAAACTGTGAACAAGTTGTGTCTATTAAAAAATCAGTGTATTATCCAATATATATCACTCTAAGAACTTATGCAACTCTCTCCTTAAAGTTAAAGGTATGGTTGCATCTCTGAAGTGTGACCTAATCACTGTAGTTGAGCCTGTGAGCCTGTAGTGTCTGTCGATCAGATTGAGAGAATTGATAAGCAATTAAACTTCCTTCCAAAATTACTGCTCTAACCCTACCTCTAAATCTGGTTCATGTGGAAAGAACACTTGGAAGAAGCTATTACTGAAAAGTGAAAACAAAGGACAGGTGATAACTGATAACCATGAAATGAAGATGGAAAACCAACACTGTTTTACTTCTGAGTTCTGAGGTATATGCCAAATGCTATAAACTATTTTGGGAAAGGACCAATGGATGAAAACTTGAAGCAACTGAATTTACCTTAGTTGGAGTTTGGTGACTTGAACACTTCTCAATCCTTTTATAGACACTTCAAGGTATAAGTATTTATCTTGTTGTGTATGAATTTGAAAAAATATGTATGATCAAGTAAACAAATGAATATTATATCATGGAGAATGTCAGCTGCTTTGGTTAAAAGTAAAGCATCACCTTCCTGAACTTCAACTATGACAGCTACCTATGACATTTGTGAGTTAATAATAAAGCAATACTGCACGTTGCAACCACTCCAGCTTATCATGAAATAAATTAACCCATGGAGGTCAATTGACTCGATTCACATTTCTAACCTGAGAAGATTCTTTCTGGAAGCATCTATTCATTTGTTGGTTCTAATTACCAGTAAGCGATGTATTCACGACATCTTTTAGAGGACCACTACAGTATACTTCCATGTCCCATTTATAGCATCCATTGCATTTCTTTTTCTAGCCTTGTTTCTATACTTCTAATTAAGATTATCTATATTTTAAAGATGTCATGATCTGTTTTTGGTCATAGCAGAGAAAATCCAAGTTTCTCTATATAAGTCTCAACACACACACATATATGGACCTAAAGAGTGGTACCACATCAGCAAGGTAAAACCAATGCAGCACAAAAACTGGAAGTCAATGAAAGAGGATTACCTGGAAGTACTGGTTGTGCTCAGGCACAACATTTTTCTTTTCTAGAACAACCACTGGTCTACCAATCATATCTAAATGGGAAAATTTAGTCTGCAGAAAACCAATGCTAAGGCAATAAATTGAGAAGTAGAGCAACAGAAAACAATGAATACTAGAGCAAGCAAATTAATTTTCATGTATACCTCTTTCAGCTTTTTGAAAGAAAAAGGAGCAGAAGCATAAATATCATCTGATCCTTCAGGTAAAACAACCTGCACACAGGTCAACAGCGTCTCAGGTAGATGCTATTACATGATATGCGCATGAACTGTCTTGTGGAACCAACACATATATTGGCATGCTCTGTGGAGCACCGCTACATCTAAAAAGTGAAATGTGTGTAAGACACATCAGGTACACAACAGGGAAGCATATGTGAAGTGCCTAAGGATTGTCCCTGTTTTATTTTTCCTATAATGGGTTCGCCACAAGTTTTTTAAGGAACGTGCTTTTTTTATAACTCCAAAACGTTGTACTGAAATGTAAAAAAACACCCCTAGACATATCTCTCCTATTTCTCATCTGCCGATATCTATTTCATATAAAATCAATTACTTGGACTCTCTTTAAACAGTACTCCCCCTCCGTCCCATAAAATTCTTCCAATTTTCCTTTTTGGGCCATCCCAAAAAATTCTTCCCACTTACCATTTTTGGACAATTTGTGTGGCGCACATTCATTTTTACCCTTTTCACACACAACTACAACCATACATTTCCACTTTACTCTCACCTCCTTAATATGCGAGCCAAGTCAATGTGGGAAGAATTTTATGGGACAGAGGGAGTATATGTGTAATTGTTTTTGTTAATACACATAAAGACATTGATGTTCCGTGCACGTAGCTCCATGCTTCATAAGGCAAGCTCATGAGACTCATCATATATGACAAAAATATATTTAAAACCAAGATTGATTATACAAAGAATGCGGGATGGGATCAGACAATAATCTGAAAACCGCAGCCTTCACTTAGCTTCTTGTACATTACAGTACAGCAGAAGCTCAACATGTAATGCTACAAAGTCTAAACTCTAAAACATCTTATCAGATATCATGGTGCAATACCTTAACAATGAGATTGTCAATTACCACCTCATTGATTGGGCTACCAAAAGAGATATTAAGGAAACGTTTCCCATCAGAACGGAACAAAAAATCTTGGAGTGGCAGGCCATAACCGATTGTAAAAGAAGTTTTCCAGCCACCAAACATCGGATATCTAGGTTCAATTTCCAGCAATGTCTGCAATAGAAATACTCTTAGAAGTGAATAAGATATATATGTGTGTGTGTGTGTGTGCCATTCTAAGATTAGTCAAATTCAAACCTTCATTTTGTCACTCCATAAATTAGATGTTGAAATATTCCCAATTTCATCTCGATAATATATGGAATGAGCTCTTGGTGGCAACTTAGCTACAAGATTACTAAATGCAGAAGCCCCTCTAATATGTGGCCGGGTCTGGTAATCTAACCTGTGCGTTGAAAAAATTGTGAAGCTTCCACAGGAGCTTGGTAAAAATGAATTTTAAGGAAGTAACAGCAGTACCTTGAAAATTCTCCAGTGCTATATGCACCTGCATGGACAAGAGTGTAGTGCTCTGTTACCTGCACATTTCCCCAATGCGAGATTTCTATCTCTTGCACCAACTGCTCAGCAACTGCAAAGGGCTTGTTGCTAACAAAGTGAACTACTATAGGCTGGTACGAAAAAGGATTAGCATTTTGATAAGGTCCATACTTAAGCTCAGAACCAGAGAATTTGGTATTTTCAAGTTTGGTATAAGATTCAACCACTGGCTCAGGTAGCTTGACAGTGAGCGATTGGATGTCAACTGAATAGGGAGACAGATAATGTGCAGTATCTTGAAACATAAAAAGCTGCAGGTCAGCCTGGGTAATTTTTTCAGGGAATGGCTGCAATAAATGTGTGAAAACTGCCTCGATCTCCAAAGTTAAGCTCTCTCCCTTGACTAGTTCCTTTGGCAGAGTTACAGCATACCAAGTCAGTGATGTGGGCATTCCATCAGGATTGACAGCCTTTACGGGGAGGCTACCTGAAGGTGTTTTAGTTTTCCCTTTCCCTTCACTAGTTGTTACCTTTAGGAAAGCCAAGTTCTTTGCCTGGTGATCAGGAAAAGGTAACAAGACCTCTGCTGCAGGGCCATTACCAGAATTATCTATCTGAAAGTAGTAAAAGTAAATGTCTCAAGCAAGGTAGTCAAAATTGTGATGTGTACTTACGGCGCAAAGGTCTTAAGGCGCAAAGAAAGCGATTGCATGACAATTTGAAAACATTGTTTATGCTGTTATGCATGTTTACAATTATCAAAACATGATATATTCAATATAAAATAAACCAGTGCACCAACAATGACATAAACAAAACAATTTACGGTAGTTTATATAATTATATGGTAGTTTAGCAAATTTAAAAAAAAAGAGAGAAAAATGAGCTAATAATATCACAAAATTGGGTCATAAAAATGTTAGAGACCCAGCGAAACTGAAATAATGGACATGAGCCACTCATCTGCTGTTCTTTAAACTGAACATGAGTGACAAGCCACTGTAAATAGAGCCTTGTCAAGTTGTGATAGGTTGTGCATGGTGTTGTGTTTTCTTCTGGAGGTTTGTGGAAGTTGCAGATTACAAGGTCTGTGGTGGAGCATGGAGCAGACTTGAGCCGCAAAGGAGAGAACTATAGTGTGCGATAATAGAAAAGATTCAATGGATTCATTCCTTTAAGAATGGGATGGGCTGATGCTGAACATGGGTATGAACCTTTAAAAAAGCCCATAGCTTTATTGAAGGAAAAGGCCGAGACTCATAACCCTAGCTGTACACTGAGTCAGGTACAATAAGCGCTCACCGCCTGGTGCCAGGAAAAAAGTGTGCTTCTTGTGCTTCATCTGAGACTGACACAGAGCAGCACGCCTGTAAATGAGTAAGGCGCTAAACCCTCCCTGCACCTCTCATTTGCTTAAGCACTCAAGCGCGCTTTTAACTACCTTGGTTTTGAGCAAATTAAGCCAGATTATCCATTTCCATATTCACACACACACATTTGCGAGGCAGAAACTTTGTAGACACTGCCATGAGACATGTTGTAACTAGACCAGATCACTAGAAACAATATTTTGTTGTTGAAAAAGTAGCAATTTCAAAAATCTGGTGAGAGAGTAAATACTAATCACCCACCTTCAAAATAGTAGTGCTCCTGACTATCTGGGATGTCAAATCAATCTGCAAAGTAATTAAGAGAAGCCAATGCCTGTTAAAAAACTTTAAACCAATTACAGTTGTCTGAACACTAGGCAGCTAACAGCCTAACAATTGCACTATAGCACGAAAGAAAAAAATGAAAAACCAAACCCCACATGAGCAAACTGTACCTCTCCCCATCACAAACTACTTTGATTGAAAACTGCATCAATTAGTCAACCTTATGCCCCAGAGCATAAAATAAAAATTAATGCACTGGCACTCCAGATTTTAAGTACTGATTCCGCATTGCTAGTCTAAAGTAAGGATTTTTAATTGAGGAACTACAAACTCAAAAATCATACTAACCGAGCTGCTAACTGTTGGTAATGCACTCATTAAATTTATCATGTTGCAAAATATAACTGAGCGAAAAGGAATCGATATACATTCATCCTAAACTAGCATTAAACAAGGACAAATAATAATGATAAATAAATACCCTAAGATGTCCAATTGTCAAAAGGGGAAAACATAAAAAGATACAAGAGTAAGTACAAACAGTGATGATGTAGTTATGATTGTACCTTTCGATCGGCCTTGGAGATGATCAGATCAGAAAGAGCGGATGAGGAGAGAACCCATAAACACACCATTAAAAGATGTATACTCATATTCACACTTCTCATCGTTCGTATCCCTGGTTCTTATTCTATTCTTCTTCTTTCCCCAACACACTACTGTGAGATCGACTTCTTTAACCAGCACACTGCTGTTTTTTCTGAAGGCAATGCAAGACTCTCGTCTTCTTGTACTGGTAGATGGTAAAATCCGAAAGAGTTGAGGCCGTTTGGTAAATAAAAAAACGGACTGAGCGAGCGGCGTGAGGTTGCGCGATCCACAAAAACGGAAAGAGAGGGTTATCAACGTATTTGCGCTGTCCACAAATACGTACTATCAACCAAAGTTTTCTTCTAATAATTTTTTATTTTTTCTTCAAATTATGTAATAATAATAAAAAGTAAGGTTGAAATTAATTTCCTTACTGTTTTGGCTGAAGTTACTCTATATGATAATTTTAGCTACTTTTACATATACGTAGTATTTTTTATTTATTTTATTAATAAAATATATTTTAAATATAATTTTTCATTAATCATTCGAATCAGCCAATGCAGCCACTTCAGTCAGAAATTCATAAATTTCAACGGAATCAACTGATCTAGTCAATTTTGGTATTAACAAACGAGCTCTCAGTTTCAACCCCAATTTTTCATTGAAAATTGAGTATACACCTGATGTTCTAAATCATACTCGTAAGTAGGGGTGGATCCGGGTCGGTCCGATCTCGGTTCTGGATCCATATTCAGACCTTCCGGTCTTAGCATTGCTTATACATCTCGGGACTAACCCGCTATTTTTCGAGTGTTGGCTTTTACCCGGTTTCAAGTTAAAAAAAAAAGAATGCTTCGAATTGACCTGGTACCACTCTTAGCATTACTCGGACAGCCGTATGTGTTACTTTGAAAAACATACAAAAATTTGGATTCATTTTCTTCCAACTATTACTCATTTTTTTACACCGTTACTAGCTTTTTCTTAATCTCGACAAACATGTATGCGCCCTACTGAAATGAAAAGATAAATACAAATAAGTAGTACTTCCTCCGTCTCTTTTTAGTTACAACAGTAAACATTTCACGTTTGTCAACACACAACTTTGACTGTCATTATATTTAATTCTATATTAGTAAAAATAAAATAAAAATTAGATTATAAAACTTAGTAATGAGACGAATTTAACAACATTTTTCAAAAAAAATAATTCACATATATTAATAAATAAAATATAGTCAAAGTAAAGTAAATGAATAGTGTATATATTCCACCTTTAATCAAATAGAAACAGTATTAAATAAGTATCTCAGGACGTATTCCCGGAAACTGCGAATCCATAGCAACGCGGGGTCAAGACGTATCTCAGGCGCAACAACGCGGGGTTAAGACGGCAGCTCAGGCGGTCAGCGACGCCACAACAGGACATAATTCAGCCGTCTTTCTCCGTGGTATCGTAAACGCCAAATCAGTTCACATCTATTACCCCCATTGCTAACGTTATTTTGGATACTTCCACATGGTGGCAAGTCGACAAGGCTCTGTGCAAGTATCTCTGAAATGAAAGGCTCCCGCATATACCGTCTATTCATATTGATCCTATGCTTAGCGCTCACATTCGGAGCTCCTCCTGATTACGAGGGACCCGATTTGGAAGCAGAGTTCAGCAGCAGCTCAAAAAATCCGGCCCCCAATTCCCCGCTATCTCTCACCCCGTAAGTCTTGCGCGTTCAACCAAAGCAGAAAGAGCAGTAATCTAATGACATATTTGATATCCAATAACTCAGAAATTCATTAGCTTTGTTAACCAGAAACGTTTCGTTTCCTAGTTAACAGAGAAAATGACACAATTACAATAACGTAAGATTTAGGATTTTTACAAGTTCATGTATCATGTTGAATGACGTGTGGTCAAGATAAAATAATCACAAAATTATTAGATCACCTAGTTGCATAATGACATTCTGGAACTGATGCCTCACCAGATCCCTTATTTAAAATTGTTCATTTATGTAACCATATTTAATCTTCTGCTGTACTTTTTAGCTTGTTAAAATCATCATTCTTTTCAGTTGCACTGAAATTGACCTGTCTGTTTTTTGATTTGTTGGTTTAACTGTCTTGAACCAGTAAAGAGGATACTGCAATTGTGGCAGCTCCAGATGGTATGATACATCTTGTAGAGCTGAGTTCAGGAAAAATTCTTTGGTCATTTACATCGGGTCCATCCATCTACTCTTCATTTCAATCTCTGACTGATAACCATGCCAATGACCGTAATGTGTCCACTGAGGGAGATAACTTTTATATAGATTGCGGAGAAGATTGGAAACTTTATCTGCATGGGGATGACTTTGACAGAGTGGTATGTTGAGTGCTTTTTGTTGAGAAATATAGAGAGTTAGCTGGGGTTAGTTTGCATTGAATATTAGTTATTGTTAGCTTGGGTTAGTTGGTTCCTAGAGGGTTAGTTGAATAGCAATAGAATAGCAAGACTCTCTCTCTCTCTATATGTGTGTGTGTGTGTTGGTTGAGTAGTATGTGGCTGGAAACAAGAGTTATTCCATTTCATTTCATTTCTTAAGTTTCTATTTTCTGTTTCATGATTTAATCTCATAATTGAAAATGCTAGGGCTAAAACACATATCTTGCTAATAGATTTATTAGGAGGTTTCTATATTATTTTACAGTGTCCTTGGGTCTTGCGTTTTGATAGGAAGACTTAAACTACAGTTAGAGCGATTCATAATATAAGCATGGTTAAAGGACTTGATAATCAATCAAGCACATGACCACATAAGAATTGGAATTTCCACTTTACTGTATTTCATCTGTCATATTTTTTCACATTTCAGGAGATCTCACAGAGTATTGAAGAATTTATAAAACAAACTCCATATGTCTTAGATGGTGGAATCATGCTAGGGTCGAAAAGGACCACTGCATTTCATATTAATTCTAAAACTGGGAGAGTGATTCATATATGCGGATCAGATATGCTTGGGGACGAGGAAGCTGTTGGAAATCCAATTATGGTAAGGAAAGACCTTGAAGATTGGAAAGCATCTAGTGAAACAGACAATGGTGTGATTGACAGTCCACTGTACATCATTAGAACTGATTATGCTGTTAAGTACACATCTACAAAGACAGGGAAAGTTTTATGGAATCTACAGGTTGCTGATTTTGAAGCGTCATTGCATTGTGAACAAACTGAGAAATTTCTTGGGGGACTTTCTAGTCAAGGCCAAGAGTTTGCTCCAGGTAAGGAAGGTTGTCAGACCAAGCCATTTGTCTACAGAATTCGTGATCGCAGTTCATTAGAATCATTTTTTATGACTGTTAGGTCACAAAATGCTCTTCCTGGAGGCACATATCTTTCTTTACCTGCTGCAGATCATAATTATCCTGTAATACCGGCTGACAAAATTTTCAGATTACATCAGAACAAAAAAGGCAAAGTGTTTCGCGCTTTGCCTGCTCCTTGTACTGATGGATTTGCAATCATGGGACTGCCTGCAGGAGATAATAGTCAAGTGGCCATTGAATCTAGTTTTTTAACCGGGTCTTATTTATGGTCTTTTGTTATATTTGGAACTTTTGTACTGCTCATTGTGGCTTTTATTTTCTGTATGGCTTCTTGGGTAATGGAGAATTGGAATAAATTGCGAAGTGAAGTTTTGGATAAAAAAGTTGAAGTTATGACAACAAAAAAGAAGAAACTACGGAAGTCTGGAATTAGCCAGAGATTTACAAATACCGAGAAAATTGAGAAAATGGGTTTTAATCATGAGACTTCTCCCGGACATGGATTTCCAGATATGGAAAACATTATACACCAGATGCAGGTTAACTTATTCGATAGGCACAGTGGAGTGGTAGATGGGCGCACAATAGGTAAATTGTTTGTCTCTCAAAAAGAAATTGCCAAGGGAAGCAACGGCACAGTCATACTAGAGGGTATATATGATGGTCGTCCAGTTGCTGTTAAGCGTCTAGTAAAGGCGCATCATGATATAGCACTGAAAGAGATTCAGAATCTTATTGCATCTGATCAGCACCCAAACATTGTACGGTGGTATGGAGTGGAGTATGATCAAGATTTTGTCTACCTTTCTCTCGAGCGCTGCACCTGTAGCTTATATGATTTTGTTTCAGCATATTCTAGCTTTTTTGAGGAGCACCTTTATGCGACAAACCAATATGCCATCTCTAGAAGTGATTGCAATCCAGAAGGACACTGGTCATCTAATGATAATTACAATGCAGCAGATTTTGAGTTGTGGAAAACCAATGGTTATCCTTCACAAAAGTTGCTGAAACTCTTGAGGTTTGTTCAAAGTCTTAGCCCACTTCTGGTAATCTGTTTGCAAGTTGTGCTTCTTTTACATCATCAAATACATCAATTCCAACAGGTTATTTCTAGAGCTGATTTTTTTTTTGCAAATGTGATTTATCATCTGTCCCTGATTGTAACTGCAGTGATATCGTTCACGGCCTTGTCCATTTGCATGAACTCGGTATTATTCATAGAGACCTAAAGCCTCAAAATGTTCTAGTAGTAAAAAAAAGAATAATTCGTGCAAAGATTTCAGATATGGGTATCAGTAAGCGCCTTGCTGGAGACTTTTCTTCATTAACCAAGCATGCCACTGGTAAGCTAGTTTTTATTTTCTTCTCGCACCAACAAGTATCTAAATTCTTCGCATCTCATGATATTATCAGTGGAAATAACCTATGGGATCATGGATTCATGGGGATACTGTTAGGGATCTACATAGAATAATAAGAAATAAGAAGAGTATTAGAATAGTTAGTATAAATAGAGGGTGAGGGGAGAATAGAAAGGGGGGGTTTTGGAATTGTTAATTGGGTCTGGGACTTTGGAGAGTAGGCACTCTTTAACTGCCTTTGTACTTTTCTCTCTCTATTTTCTTTATACGAACCCTTTCAGTTGTACGCACATCTCTGTTCTTCATCTTGTTTCTTGAAATAGATCTTGAATTAGCTAGGTACCTAACATTGGTATCAGAGCACCGTTTCTGACACATGTCCATGGTTGCGACGCGTAGAACGATGGAAGGAAAATTGGACAGTTTCGAACGCGAGCTGGAACATCATCGCGAAGAGTTGCGGCATGAGATGGCTGAGTTGCGCGCACTGTTGATAAAGCAGAACGACGGACATGAGCGAGGAAGGTCAAGAACCTCAACTCGCGACAAACGACATGACAGTCCAACGCAATCATACTCCAGAGAGAACATGGAGCGGGAGAAGAATTGCGAAGGGGCCAGACGCACTAACGAAGAGTTACGCGAATTAATTCTGCAGTGGAATGAAAGCCACTCAAGCGGAAGGTCCAAAACAACAAAGCGAAGCAAGAGACTGGACAGTAGTGAATCTTCTTCGTCTTCTTCAGAGCAATCGACGCCTGGAACCATAGAGAAGCGCTATGGTTTACGCGAAGAACATCGATGGTCAGAAATGTCCGCATCTGGTTCGCGCAGATTGGAACGAAACAGAAAGAAGGTGGGGAAGAATCGCGATGAAGTCGGAGCTAGGTCAAAGACAGAGGAATTACCTCTATTCCACAAGGTTGATGCGTACGCATGGATAGGGAGGATGGAAAGATATTTCCGAGTCCAAGCTACTGCAGAAAGATTTAAAGTAGACATTGCAGCAAAGGCAATGGGGGAAGCCGCAGATGGCTGGTTTCATTGGTGGGATTTTCATAAGAGAGAAGATAGTTGGAATGCTCTCAAGGAAGACTTGATTAGGGATTTTCCACCTAAACACCGGCAGAAGACAGGGAGGACAGAAAAACCGGTATCATCAAGGTCACCAAGAATTTCTTGTAGTTTGCAAGTTTCTCACCCTGAACAAGATATTGCCCAGTCAATAAAGAAGACACAGATGGAATTAACTGAACCTGTAATCACGCAAATGAATACGAAAGAGGAAATCAAGGACGTAATTAAGGAAAAAAGACAGGTTATTCAACCATGTTCCTTTGGAAACAGAGTCCTAATGACTTCTGAAACTAGTACAGAGGCTCAGGAGGAGGAGGTGGAGACTGTTCCAGGAGAATCTGCTAATATCTGGGGAAAACATCAACAGATTCATGGTACTGATAAGTCTAGCCATGCCCTACACCTTGAAATACAAGAAGCAGAACTGCCGCCCTGGGTTGAGAGTATGTTAGACTACCCCAAGCTTGATTTACAAAATCCATTTAAAGCACTTGAAAGTTATATAATGTTGAGAGACATCTCTGAAATGACAGCTCATAACCTGTTACTGCCTAAGGTTTATGAATCATTCACAAGGCTTTTACAGAGGATGGACCCAAAGAGTTACCAACAAACTTTAGCTATTAGGGCCCCTGGTAACATACAGCATTTGGTCGTTCACATGTTACCTTATGTTAGGCCAATGTTGACTAAACCACGACCACAGCTTGAAGAATTAGGAACTGGTAACAATGTTGACTGCAGTTTGATGGCAAAGGATGAAGCTACTGGATATGATTTCATCATTCTTGATACTGAAGGAAAAGGGAATGTCCGAGCTATGATGACTTCTCAAGAGTGTGGTGCAGAAAACCTCTATGAAGTACCTAGATCTGTAGGTATCCAATTCCAGGAGGAGTGGCAGCCAGTTTTTTATGCTATTATTGGGGAACTGCCCGATGAGAATGGTTCTGTAGGGGTTGTAGCACTTGGTGCTGGCAAGGTTGTAGTGAAGCATCATGAAAATATGCCCTTGCCTCAGCTTCTCACTATGGTAAAAGTGATGGAAATGGTTCAGTTCATGAAGATCAGGGTCCTGAAATTTGGAAGATATTGGGAAGGACGAGGCGCAAAGATGAGGAAGAAGCGGTTCATCAGGACTGTCTCCTATGACCCACCTTGAGGACAAGGTGGTTGTCAAAGGGGGAGTAATGTTAGGGATCTACATAGAATAATAAGAAATAAGAAGAGTATTAGAATAGTTAGTATAAATAGAGGGTGAGGGGAGAATAGAAAGGGGGGGTTTTGGAATTGTTAATTGGGTCTGGGACTTTGGAGAGTAGGCACTCTTTAACTGCCTTTGTACTTTTCTCTCTCTATTTTCTTTATACGAACCCTTTCAGTTGTACGCACATCTCTGTTCTTCATCTTGTTTCTTGAAATAGATCTTGAATTAGCTAGGTACCTAACAGATACAGTTTTTTTTTTAATATATTTCATTAATTCATTTTACTTTGTGCTTTATTGTCAATATGGTCGCCACAAGGACATTTGGCTGAAAATTTTCCCCCTAGGTTGTTTGCATGGATATCTAGAGTAAATATTAGTTCTATATACAAACTAGTACTATTACTTTCTTGCCACTGACCCAAGTAGTTGGGATTAAGGGTTTGATGATGATTTGAACACCAGATGGGGTTTAGTTCCATGTGATGGTGTACATGTAATAATGTGAATCTAGCTGGCCTGCTCAGTTTTGGGTTAGGATTCTTGAGCCAATGGGCTTTTCTGGTTTTTATTGAAGGCTCTAACCCTAATCATGTTGAGTCACATGTTTATATTGAAGGCTCTAACCCTAAATTTTTATGATCTGTAAAATAGTATGATGGAACAGATTGAATTTCACACTATTCATATGCCCTACTTTGACTACATTTTATTTATTTAATGTATGAAAAAATTATTTTTTGAAAAATATATTTTGTCATTAAATTCATCTCATTTTAATTTTTTTAAATCTGTTTTTTAATTGTTTACTAATACTGAATTAAATATTTACTAATGTTCAAAGTTGTGTGTTGGCAAACGTGAAAATGGAAATGTTGCAACTAAAAAAGAACATAGGTAGTATTTATTAGTTGTAATTTATAACACATCAAGTACATGCTCAAAACATCAAACTTTAATAATAAACTGCTAACATATAAGTAGATCTAGGTTCAACAACTATATAACATCAAACTTTAATACTAAGTTGATAACATCGACTAGTAACTCTTTAAGTGTTCAATATTGATATGTTTAATTATTAGTAAACATAATCATACATACCTCGATTCAAAATATGTTATGTTTCAAGAACTCACACTTCACTACACGTCAATAGAATTTAAATTTTTTCTTGACACATTTGCATATTGATGCCAATCAGATTGGGGTCGTACTTTCCTGAGTTTTTTTTAATAGTCCTATTTTTCCGACTATCTTTTGGGTTTCAAGTTTTTTATGTCATCAATAAAAATGGGTACAGCCTACATGTGCAGCGCTTAGGGTGGTCCTGGAGCATTAAGTCACCAATAGAGAGCCATCGGTCCATGGAAGGCTGACCTATAAGGCTATAACAGCCTGGTGTAGGTTAGAGGTAATCCTGACACACCCCACAACCCAGTTACCATAAGAGGTCGGCCTTAGCACGTGTTCTATGGACAGTAGGGCCGACCTCAGTCCAATGTCAAGCCCCCCACGTGCCCAGACAGCATTAGCCCAACTGCTGTGGGCATCCCTTCAGCCATTAACAAACATGATTTGTAGTAGTTAGTTAAAGTAGCCATAGTTTCCACAAGGACATCTACTATAAATAGTGCTCACCTTGCTCAGGGATAGAGATAGAAAAACATTCCACTGTCAATCATTTTGACTGGCGCTTTCTTCTCTATTGCTCTTGACTCATTGATCTTTACTTAGAGCTCTGGACAACCACAATTGATGCTTTGGTTGAGTCCAGAAATAACAACAATAAGATAATACCTCACAATCGCAATCATGATGGAAAACCAGACAAGGTGAAAAGTACCAGGTTCCGCTAAGAAAACATGTTCGTGCTGTGAGCTCCAAAAAACATGGCTTGTCCAGACAAATCAGCTGTCTTGCTGCAGCCTTCAGGGAGAATCTTGATGTCCACAACTCCATGATGTGTTGATTAACGCGATCATGTCATCGAGATCCTATGATCATTGGTGGAAAGCCTCTAGTAGCCCCCAACCTTTGTGTAGAATCATTCTCCGCCGGTGGTCACTCAGGCCCCTCCGCTGACAGTTGAAGCCGCGGTGGAGGCAATTTCTTATCTCTCCACCTGTCAGAAGAGATGGGGAAGACAACATCTGACACCCAACCCCCATGGTCGGTGCAGAAATGATATTTCAGACTTGAGGCCCTGCATTTAGTCACTTGGTGAGTGACCACGGTCTGGTTTGAAATGTCTTGGTCTGCAGGACTGTAAGATGGGGATATGAAGAGATAGGTGGCTAGCACACGTGCTGGTAACGCTCCTGACGATGAACTATCATTCCCGGAGTTGGTGGGAGGAAGAGAGTGGGACAAACAGTACTAGCTCTTGCTCCAGGATCTAAAGGATAAGGGGATTCATAAACAACGGCAAATGATGAGTCAAGATTCAACATTCTTTAGTGCGGTGGTTTTTTTAAAGAAATGGTAAAAATACACAAGGTTGAAGGAATTATAAGAAAAGGATGGAGGCTGACCTGGAGTAGAATGCCGAGTTTAGGTGTGGTGGTGGCTGATTTTTTTGTGAATTTTGGGAACAAAAGTGGGGAGTCGATAAGGGTGGACATATGTTGATGAGTGCAGCTACATAATACTAAACAATGGCAATAGTTAGGGAGAGAAGGTGGAGATACATGTGTGTGTCTTCCCAAGGCATACACGAATCGCGATAACATGAATCCTTGTACATAGAATCCTTATAACTTTCAATCATTTATGCTCCACACTGAGGCAGATAGATGTACGCTCTTACTTCCTCTTACCTAAAGTTCCTCTCATACTCAGGATGGACATGTTCTTAACACCATGGGTCTAGCTTGGGGCCAGGGAAACCCTGCATAGAGGACATTGGTCTGTGGAAATCTTCTAACTATAACATTTTCAGTGCAGTCGAGATGTCCGTCTAGCAGACTCCTTGCCCCAGTCATCCCAAGTGGTTGTCATTGGTGCCTAACCTCACCTTTGGTTTGGCAATTCCAGCCCAATAACAGCTGTACCAGAAATAGTCTGGTATAGGAGAGTCAGTTGAAGTAGCGACAGCTCAAACAAGGACATCTTTGCATTTTAAGTAATGTTCCACCGAGCTCATTCCTAGTGAATGAAAGCATTCCATCCTTGATGCTAAAAAGCTTTAGCTTTTTTAGCCTTTTTGTCAAACAATTTGACCAAAGCTATCATCTTTTTTATTCTTAGCTTATGCTACATGACTCTGCTTTATGAGTTTCTAATGAGTAATATACCTAGATATGACTAAAACGTAGGATGGTTTCCTGAATACGACACTCAGAATGATTTTTCTTTATTCAATTTCATTTCACATCTTCTAGGATGAAGGTAATGATAGTTTTGTTTTCCCTTGGTCCCGAAGTATAAAGCTGCTTAACTTTTAGCGTAACTTTAATGAGGATAAGTAAAGTGTAGTTCAATATCCAAATTTGACTCTCAAGTGGGACCATTTGTGTCAAAGTCATTTGAAAAGAAGTAAGAGAGAGAGAGGGATAAGTTGAACTATAAAAAGTAAAAGCCTAGTGGTGTTCGAATTAGGAAACTCAACCCTATTTTGGGACTGACTAAAAGGTAAAGTAGGGCACATACAGTGAGACACATGGAGTATTTGTTTACTATATACATCTGTTAGTTTTGATTTCCATGATTTTACCTCTTTGTCCGGTATATTTAGTTTGGCTAGCTGATAAGTTAGTTTAAAGTCTTGCACACATCTTTTCCCCTTTTGGGCAACTAAATTGTAATGACTAGTGTTACTTGTGCACGTGCTACTTCTTTTGCAAGTTGATTTCATGCACAATTGTTTTCTAGGTAATGGAAGTTCAGGGTGGCAAGCACCTGAACAACTTCGTCATGAACGTCAAACTCGTGCTGTAGACTTATTTAGTCTAGGCTGTGTCATGTTCTTCTGCATTACTGGTGGCAAACATCCATATGGTCAGAGTCTTGAACGTGATACAAATATAGTAAATGATCAGAAAGACCTCTTTTTGATAGAGAATATGCCTGAAGCAACTGATCTGATATCTCAACTCCTACATTCAAATCCAGACTTCAGGTATTCATTTCATTATATTGGTTTTCTATTCCTTTTAAGCATTGTACATTGAATTTTAGTCACTCTTCAAATTTCAACCATGCCCTAGCATGTGTATTAGGGTCAACATAGTCCCATTCCAGACCAGGATCAGCCATTTTTTCTTGGAGACTGAACCAACTTTCCAGTTCCAGACCAGAACTGATATTGGGCAGTGGTCCAAGCCCAGTATGGTTCTGGTTCCTCCAAAATAGGTGTGGGCCAGTTTCAGTCCCACTCTTTAAAAACAGGCTAAAAACTGACCTAAGAACCGAATAGGTTAAACTAGGTTCTGCTCCAGGCCTGCCTTCCTCATGACCTGGACACAGAACCGTACCATAAATGACATGGAACTGGATAGGCTATACCATTATACCAGGTTCTGGCTTCGGGCCCTCTTTTCCCATGACCCAGAACGTAAACCAAACCGGATAGACCCCTTTGTGTATGTCATTTCAATGAATCTACTTATTGTTGAAGATAATCTGTTTCTCTCCGTAGGCCAACGGCTGTGGAGGTACTGAATCACCCTTTCTTTTGGAAGCCTGAAACAAGGCTGTCTTTTCTTCGAGATGCTAGTGATAGGCTAGAACTTGAGGATAGGGACAGTGAATCCGAGATCCTGACAGCAATAGAAAGTATCAAGACAGTGGCTTTGGGCGGCCCGTGGGATGCAAAAATGGACAGTGCCTTCATCAATGACATTGGTCGTTATAGGCGCTACAAATTTGACAGTGTTAAAGATCTATTGCGGGTGATTAGAAACAAGCTAAACCATTACCGAGAGCTCTCAATGGAGATTCAGGGACTTTTGGGGCAGGTTCCAGAAGGATTTGATGCCTACTTCTCTACCCGCTTCCCCAGTCTTGTAGTGGAAGTTTACAAAGTCATTCAAAGATATTGTGCGGATGAACAAATCTTTCGAAGCTATTTCCAAAACAGTCATATTTAACACCTATTCATCTATATACTGTTCATCTGTGATTATTAGCTTTTCCATTTTTAACCTTTTGAGTTGCTAACTTGTATTTGTGTGTATATATGATGTAAATTGCGATCATTAATGATTAATGTAACAATAACATATGCTTCTTCCACCTTAAAAAACGAGTCATTTTGTAATACTCGTATTTATTTGTCTTGGTGTGTGTTGGGGGGGGGGGGGGGGGGGGGGGGGGGGGACTTGGAAGTTGGAACTATACACATTGCACATTGCATGGTCGATTATGGTATTAAAAGGAAGAACTTTAACCGGAAGCGGGCATGGGAGGTACTCACTGTCTGGATTTCGAGTTCGGTTCTTCACTCATTCCGACTGTTGTATTTTTTTAATACAGGCTAAATGATAATTGTTCTATCAACTTAAAATGTGTATTTTTTGCGTAACTAGTTGAAACATCTATTTTCTAAACTTTTAGTTTTTTATGGTTATTGTTAGCTTCCGGTTGCTAGAAAGTTTGTAAATGAAAAAAAACTACTCTAAAATTTTAGTAAAAGTTAACTACGTAGTATTTTATATAATTTTGTTATATACTCCGTATATCATTATTCATTAGCTGAAATTGTAATACGGAGTAGTACAATAATGACATTTTAATTTTAATGCTATTGGTGAGAAAACATATGCTTAAATTTAACGAAATATTACCCGAAATAGGACTAAAACAATTTGAAAATTCCAAAATAGGACTATCATGTTTTTATTCCCAAAATAAGACTAATTACTGTCATGTTTTGGCAATACCAGACTTCGAACATATCAGTAAATTTCTAAACATGGCAGTAATTAGTTCTATTTTGGGAATAAAAAATATGACAATCCTATTTTGGAATTTTGAAACTTTTTTAGTCCTATTTCGGGATCTTTCCTTAAATTTAATACTACCTCCGTCCCATAAAATTCTTCCCACTTTGACTTGGCACGGAGATAAGAAAGTGGAATAAAGTGGAAATTTATGGTTGTGGTTGTGTAAGAAATATGTGAAATGAATGTGAACCACACAAATTGTACAAAAATGGTAAGTGGAAAGAATTTTTAAGGACGGTCCAAAAAAGGAAAGTGAGAAGAATTTTATGGGACGGGGGAGTATTTTTTAAAGTAAATTTTATATTGTTTTTGTTAAATGAAAAAAATCAACCATTGATGAAATACAAAATATTATTACTATTATTGTTGCTGTTGCTGCTTATTTTTTGAGATTATTAGAAAACTAGATTTAAAATAAAAGAATCATAAACGAATAATTGTGTGCAATTAGTTGTTCTTAGATGCTCAATTGGCCTTCTTGATCGGTTATTCATTTATTTATTACTCATCTTACTCTACATAAAAACGAGTGGAAAAAATGGCCCGCCCAAAACCATCACAATCAAACCAACATTAAATCGTTGTACGGAGTATTAAAAAAAAGAGAGAATTCCCTAAATAAGAGTAAAAATGTTTTGAAATTCCAAAATAGGAGTATCATGTTTTTTATTCCCTAAATAAGAGTAAATTTCTGCCAAACATGGCATTACTAGGCTTTAAACATGACATTTTCTTCCAAACATGGCAGATTACTCCTATTCAGAGAATAAAAAACATGACACTCCTATTTTGAAATTTCAAAACGTTTTTGCTCCTATTTAGGGCAATTTCTAAATTAAACAAAAAAGCTTGGAGATATATTGAGTGGCAGAAGCAGGAAAAAGTCAATTGAGTACATCAACTTGTATGAGATAGAGTAAAGAGTACACTATATTGCATCTGAGTTTTTATGTAATCAAACTCGGTTTTTGTGTGTTAATTGAGTACACACAGTAGATTAACACGTTAATACGCCCGAGTTGACAAACAAAAAGCTAATAGATTGACTTCCTGAAGGTCGACGCCAGTGCTCGATCCCTTGGTCGACTTTCACTTGTTTGGTGTCAGCCCCCGCAAGTTGTCTTACCCTTGATCGATGCACCCCCGCAAGCCGGCGCCCTTCGCAAGTCGACCTGATGATGGTCGACACCATAAGCATGGCCGATTACCCCTTGTTTCTCAGCATTCCACTAGCCAATTTAGTCATATTAACATGCTAATCTTGTTGGGTGTGTCTCGGAAAAATGAAGAAATATTAATTAATAAAAATAATTTATTAATTAAATAGCCAACGAAAACCAGAAAAGAGATGGGACAGAGTTTAGCCAGAGCTCGTGCTACGCACGATGTCCTTAAAACGTATTCGTCGCCTCTCAGGGTGCTAGGAGCGTTGCAATGACCGTTTCCCAGGATACGTTGGCTAATGAACTAACGTTTGAGCACACAAACGAGAGTTCCGACGAACGGGAACAAAGGCACAACACTCAGGAATTTTCGGAGTAGCTGGAAGTGTTTTAGAGCTCAAAATACGTGAGGAATGTATTGTGTGTTGTGTTGTTGCAAACCACCTGTCAGCTATTTATAGGAGGATTTGTTGTGTGTTAAATGTAGTGTTAATGGACTTGAACGTTGGACATCAATGACCAGTCCGTTGGGCATTGAATCGTCCATAAACTGTCCATTTAACGCAGCATTAACAGAGAAGAACATTGGGCATTTATTGTTGAAACGACTTGGAGCAGTTCTGGTGCGCGACCAGAATACCCTCACCAGAAGAGGAGCAGTTCTGGTGTGCGACCAGAATACCCCCACCAGAAGAGGAGCAGTTCTGGTGCGAACAGAACTCGAGCACTTCTGTTCCGGACAGAAACGGAGCATCTCTGGTTGCCAACAGAAGTCGAGCACATTTGTTCCGGACAGAAGCGGAGCACTTCTGGCCATGGGAAAAATAAAACGGTACGGGAAGAAACAGAAATTAAATCGTATCTTTGAATGATAGATTTTCGGACGGCATTCGTGTCCGCAGGTCGCCCACGCACACGAGTCGCGGTTTTTCTTCTCCATTTCGGGATTTGATCGGCACCCCCCTGCGCGTAAGAGAGAGCTTTTACCTTTAGAAATCTTAACTCCTTAAAAGAGGCTTCCCTTTATAAGGGGGTGAAAATCCCTTGAGTTTTCCGGTGTAGTATAAAACACACTAGAAACCCATCATTTTCCCAGTTTTTCCATTTCAACGAGTGAACTTCGAGAATCAATTTCTCATTCACCCGTTATCCGTTTTGAACGTACCATATATCGAATTGTAGCCCTTAACAAGGACAATCCGAAATCACTTTGACCCGACCCAAATCGGAAGTGGACCCCACTCAAATAATTGCTCCAAAATGACCATTCAATGCAATTTTTAACATATTTTTCAAACAAATCCAACGAATGTACTTAATTAACACTAAGAAACCGAGTTTATGTACTTATGAATGCCAAATGAAACATAGTGTACTCTTTACTCCACCTCATACAAAATGACGTACTCAATTGACCCTTTTCTCGTGGCAGAAGGGATGGTGAGAAAGAAAGGTGTGATGTCGGGCAACGAGCGGGCATGCTCAACATGGGCCCAATTAAAATAAAATCTCCAATAATATTCATCTTGAGCATCCAAAGTTGGTATAACCTCCTTTGAAATTCCTTTCTTCTTCACTCTTAGCTTCCTCATTGACGGCTTTCTTAGCTTGTAGGTACTTGATTTTATCCTCGAACTTTTTGTCCTTAGGGGGTGGCGTTCTGTTTTGTTTGTTCTTCTTTGTCATGATGAAGAAAATGAATGAACAAAGTTTCATAATATTTTTGTGAAAAAATCACTTTTTATAAAAAAAAATATTAAAATTCATAACTTTTTATTATCTTTCATATGACATCAATATTGCATCTATAAAGTTAAAAAAATGTTGGAGATTCTCACACCTAAATTTTTTGTTAAACAAATCTAAGTGTTAAAATTAAGATCTCATAGTTCAAATATTTTTTACATCTATCAATTATTTAATTTTGAAAAATAGGTCTGAAGTTAAACAAAAATTAAACTGCAAATTTATTTAGTTTTAAAATCATGATCATTTGCAAAAACAATTTGGCAAAAAATGATGTATAATACTCCATCCGTCCCAATATTATCTCATGTTTTGACTTTGCGCACGTATTAAGAAATTGAAAAATGTGTAGACTAAAGTTGTGCAGATGAGAGAGAAAACAGGGACAAATGTTGTGAACTACGGAGTATAATTTTTTGTCACAAGGGAAAAATTGTTTATATTGGGATAGACGCAAAAGGAAAGAATGAAGATCGGAAAATCGAATAGATCTAATGGTGCACGCTTAGGGCTAAGCGCCTTCGTCAAAATCGGAAAATCGAATAGATCTAAAATATATCAATGTAATATATTTCCATCTAAAATATATCAATGTAAAACACATATTGAAATTTGACTTTAGATTTAATTTCAATTAAATATATATACAAACAAAATTAGAGGTTTTTCCTAAAATATTACTAATAAAAAACTTATGGACAAAAAAGTGACTATAAGCTACTATGCGTAAGTTTTATAGTCACTATGATGTAGCACTTGAATACAATTGTAGTCACTTAAGTCCACTACTTATATTTTGGCTATATATTTGAAATTATTTCGCAAAATTATATGTTAATATTCATGGCTTAAATCAAATCCGAACCAATACTGATCATACACTTTCATCAACTTGATTTTGGGTCTAAGCAGATACTAAAATATGTAGAGACTACACTTTTTTTTAACTTGATTAGTAAATAACTAAATATATGAAAAGAAATAAGTTTTTTTCTTGCACTTTCTCATTTGTTATAGCATATGTTCTGTGAAATGCCAATTCGACATCTTTGAACATGCGACTTCCTCCTTGAAAGTGTCACAATGATGTTATCGAACCAGAAGGTGCTTGACAAAAGGAAATATGTATTTAAAATTACATTTGATTATATTTTGAAAGAATGAAAATTATAGTACTTCGTGTAGAAACTCTTTTTGCACGTTTCTCCCTTTGACAAGTACTACAAATGATAAAAATTAAAAAAAAAAAACTCTATCTATATAATTATATTTCATTGAATCTAAAACAAAATTTATGTTTCTTTGTTTAAGATTATCTATTACTAACAAAATTTATGTTTCTTATTTTTAGATCATTAATTACTTTTGCCAAAAATTTAATTTCAAATAATGCTGAAAGTCCATGTCAGAGCTGAGGAAATATTTAGGTGATCAAAAATTTTGTGTTCTACTTATGCTAACGGATTTAATTCACATTTGGCCATCTTTTGCCCTACTGAGATATAATATTCATTAAATAGTTGCTACTTATTAATATATAGTTAAATTACATTATCTCATTAATAAAATGCCATTAAAATTAATTAATCATTATTAATCATTAAATTTTGTAAAATATTCTACCGTGCATCGCACAGGTGATATACTAGTTTAGTTAAAAACATGGAAAAATAAGAAAATGCATAAACTTACCTATTTTCCACAAAAAGCCATGCAAAGTGACTTTCTTAGAAAGTATCTTAAAATTTTACAATAATCTACCAAATATAGCACTACGAATTTAGAGGCTTTTTTAATATTGGTAAATTTAGAAGTCACTTACGTATGTGCCACCCTAGTGAGTAGTGACCCACCACCCCCTTCCATATCTTTGGAGAGTATATTGCAGTCATGCACACTTAATTGTTCAAGACACTATTCGAAGTGTGGGGTCGATACATTGGAGACTTTCGCAAGTCAACTTGCCCAAGCCTTGGAATATAGGTTATGTAATTGTATTTAAACAAAACTAAATTAGACTTCTTGAATATTGTTGTATCATCTATATTATTCATATCTTTTTTTCAAAATAAATCACAACCACTCAATTTTATTTTCTTGAATCAGAAAACTTTGTCAAGATTTTTACGCAATAATACAAAAGAAAAATTGACAACAGTAATCCACATTTGACTGATTTTCTCATAACAATCTCACATTTACATAATCTTAGAACAATCCCACATTTGCAGCCCATAATTGACAACAGTAATCTTAGATGACACAACAATATTTAGTAACCCAATATTTTAGGCAACTCCAAACGAAACCTTCAACGCCTAATAGCTTCATATTAATAAATTCATATTGTCTAAAGATGAAATGTGAAGACATTATGACGGTAACAAAATATAGCATCCACCTAGGGGCAACTTTTGTTGCAGCTCCCCCCCCCCCCCCCCCCCCCCGGTCCCAATCCCACCCCAGTCACCAGGTGTTCAATCCTGCACATCTAATAAAACATAGATGCATTTTGAAGAAAATTGAAAATCTCATCCTTAGCAACACGGCCATATTGGGATGCACTGTACTTTCTGAATGCTGCAGTTAGCTTCCCAGATCCTGCCTTGTGATGAAAAGAAATCATCAGCTTTGAGCACTCCCTGTTCACCCAATATCACAACACTAAGTTATTTTGATTCATTATCAAAAATTTAAAATAGTTACACCATACAAGGTATATCTAATCAGCCACTTACAACAGTTGGTCATGAGTATATCCAGTATACTTCTCACAAGTTCTGTCCCAATGTTTGCAGCCTATCAGGCTGCTTTGAGCTGTAAAGATTGCCCCGGCCGCTAATAGAGAGGGTGGGAACCTCAGCATTTCATACTCAACAAGGCATAGTTCAATCATGAAGAAAGACATGAGTTCCAACTGTTTCGTTATCAGAAAAGCCAGCCATGAAACCTCCAATCAGCATTTCATTGAAAATAAGTAGCAATGATTCATTATTTTTCCTTTTTTTCTCCAAACTCGTACTTTAAATTTCAAAAAAGACAAAACTTTAAAGCTGTTCATCATTATGAGAAAGTAGGGTACTTAATAGAAACTATGTTACTTCACAGATAAAAATATTGATATTTGTATTTATGAAAAACCAATATAGGAAAATTCTAGCAGAGAAAAAATGCAATTGATAAGTTCTATTCGGATAACATAATATGACATATACAGTTCGATCCTTCCCTATAGTCTTCAAAATGGTTCATTGGTTTTCAGTATTTCTTGACATTTTCAGAATTCTCTCCTACACTAGAGACAGTTCAATACATTTGATATCAAAATCAACCTCAAAATGTGGAAATTTAGTTATACGATGCATGGACTTCATTCTTTAGATTTATCAAAAGTGCTAAATCGGCACCTTTGATAACTAAAAAATCCACTAACCTTCCGATCACATTGTGCAGCTTTAATAAATCTCCTCATAAACACATACGGCGTGGGCACTGACATGTTAAACTGTAAGACGTTAACCATTAACTTCTCCTGTTGCCACAAATACAAGTTAACAATAATGAATTATCGTGATAGAATAAAATACTGTGGGATAGGGGTGGGGGGATCAAATTTATGTTTAAGTTTTTTTGCTTATAAATATGTTACCATGTCTAATACTTCCTTCCTTGTGTAAGCCTTATCTGAAATTACTATGAGATCTTCCACAACAGGAACAGACACTTCTTCATATTTGCAAGCGAGAAGCATTGCCGTTACCCCAACAAGCTGGAGCTTTTTCCTAACTACCGGTTGGAGATTCAGGAATCTATCTATGAGACTCACTGTCAGATAAAGAGTCTCCTCCATCAGTTCAAACTTGTAATGCACCTGTACTTATGAGTGAGGGAATACAGTAAGTTGCTCACATTTCTTGATATATGTATAACCACCATCTTTAGATTAACAATTTAATGCAATTAGGAGTAAAACATATGTCTATGTGTAGAAAATATAGGACTATCCTTGTTTGTGCTAAAATGGGACTCATCCAGTCCTAAAAAGGAGGAAAAGTAGTCAACAGTGCTAAAAGGTGAATCAATCTTAGTTTCAGAAAAAAACTATGATAGTTCTATTTGAAGGAATGTGTTATGTTTTAGTCCTATTTATGGAATTGTTTCTTGTAGGTTTTATTTGAAAGATTGAGAAGATAGATGGGTCTGTTCCACATATTATGTACCTCAATGAGCCAGTCAATGAGAATGCCTCTCATTCTTTCATTGATGTCAGGCTGCCGATCCATGTAGTCCGGGAGCACGCAGCTAGAGTTCTGTGATGTTTCCAAATGAAGAAAAGTTATTAGTAAAAAGTACATCGATAGCGTGAATATGTAAGAACATCACAGTCGGTATGACGCAATCATCACGAAGTGAATACCTAAATTTTCTTAAAGATTAGATGGAAGTGTTTCAGAAACAATGGCTGGCACATACCTCAGTCTTCTTGTAGTAAGCATATATGTCATCAATATACTCAACCACAGCAAGTGCATCCTTCTTGTCTGGACTGTCTATATCAACAATTACATAGTCCTCCACATCTTCCATTTCAATTTCTTTATCCTGCATCAAGAGAAAACCATACAGCATAAACAAAACACCCCTACAAGAATTTAAAAAACAAAAACCTCCAAAACAATTGTAACTAAATGTTGGTCAAGCCAAATACCATCTGATCTATTTCCTCCAGCATAGCCTCTGTGTGTTGCACAAACATGGGAACATTGAAGTCATCATCAACACCATATTTATTCCTATGTGTTGCTGATCGGAGTGGTGGCTTAGTACCCTATTTATGATTAGAATCAATTGATTTTTATGAGAATAAAAAGTACATTCGAACGAGGAGTAACTTAACCTAAAACTTTATTCCAAGCAAAATATTGACTATATGATTACCTGAGTGAATGGTTGATGCCGCTGCTGTTGTTTTTTAGCCGATTGTGCAGTCAATTTCCTATTGGTACAGCAAAATGAATATCATTTCTGTGACTACATAAGGAAAATGAGAACATCCAAAGGAAGTTTCTTTCTACCACCAACGAACCTTGTGATGGGACGATGAGCAAGAACTTGAGGTGTGTTCTTATTAGCTACATTTGCATTGTTTCTATCAAGATTGGACAAACAAAGATAAACAATTTTAAAAAATCACTTCTTACGTATGAAAAAAGAGAGGATAAAGAAATGAATGCTGTTGGTTTAAATAATCTTACTCCTTGAAGCCATTTCTCTTGGAGACAGCACAAGAATACTGTGTAGGGGCGACTAAATCCACGTTGATGGTGCTTAATGCTCTCCTATTTTGTCCAATCACCCCTCCAGCCATTAACCCCCCTCCTAAAATTCCCAATGTCACAAATTCAAACTTATTAGAAAGCCAAAATTAAGATTACATGAAAAGACAGTCAATACCAGAGGAAATCTACCGTTTTTGAAGAGAAAGGAAGAGAATCATTGAAATCTCAACTTACCATGACGATTTGAGGGCCTGACAGCACCTGCCGGGTCATTCTCTTGATCCATTTTGACTTTAACCACCGAGTGAACAAGAAAACTATTAGGTAATGAAAACCCAGTATTTTTTACAAGGTAAGAAGGGCAAGACAATACAAAAGATATATCAAAGAGTAGTCTTTCCTTGATAATTCAAGGAATCGAGAAGAACAAAAAGAAATTACATTAAGAAGACCTAGAGATCAGATCAATAGAGGACTACGGAAACTCGGTAAAATCAATCAAAGGGTTGATTGCCCCTCTCGCGAAGAAGAAGTATTCTTCGTCAATCTTGTTTTCTCCCTGTGAAAATTTTTCTTGAGAGGGTCGGGGTTGAGGGGTACTATTAGGGCCACGGTGTTTGAAGGGACATTTGGGTCGATAGGACCAGATTTCAAATACGTTATTTTGAATATAACGGCTAGTAAAACCTAGCTTCCGAAGGAATAAATTGTTCGTATTGATCTATTTCCTTAGGCTAACTCAACGGTTCAATTCTCTCTAGCTTTTTCTGCATTGATCTTGATTACACAAAACATGTTTGTGTAATTTCAGTACACTCCTCTTATATTAATCATGTTTGTGAAAGATTTTTTACACAAAACATGTCTTATTTTGTCTCTAAACGGGATTTACACAAAAACTTTGCACAAACATGATGGATATAAAATGGTATAGGTGGGTACAAACAACTTTTTGTTTTCTTATTCTTATCATAAAAATGCAGTGTGCCATTACTCAAAAAAAAATTACTAAAAACTTCTATTATCCCTTATAATCTTTTTTGGATTAGTTTTATTTTGGCCTACAAGTGCAAAAGCACTGCTTCTTAAAACATGTGCAAAAGCACCGCTGGATTTTTTACACGCAAATAAATTTCAAGTGTAATAAGTCTTTTGTACATTACCTTTTAGTTTTGTATCAAATATCATTCAAAATAACTAAAATGCCATCATTTTGAAATAAAGATACTATTCTTCATATTAAGTAATCTCTTTTTTCTTTTTATATTATGTACATTAGCACATGTAACAGTTTTCATAAAAAAATCCTTTATTTGTTTCCAATTTTTTCGTTTTAATTTCAAAAAGTTTATATATATTTAAACATATATTGTGCGCGCATGTGTGTAACATTACCAGGTTATTATAAAATAATAAAACATTATATTAAGATCTTGAATTACTTCTACCAATGTTTTAACATAGTATCAAAGCATGTTCGATTGTGATTTGACTTTTTGTTTAACACTCATAATTAATGGTGGTTTGTTATCAATTGATTTGACTTACTTATCTACTCAGAGTGACGTTATCAAATTAGGAAATCACTTTTAATCATAAATACTATCTTCAGTTTCTTTTTTGTTGCAATAATGAAAATTTCAGTATTTACATACTCTAATTTGACTATATTTTATTTATTAATGTTTGAAAATTAATCCTTTTAAAAAATATTGTTGAATTCGTATCATTACAAATTTTTATAATGTGTTTTTAGATTTTTTTTACTAATAGAGAATTAAGTATAATTAAAAGCAAAATTTAGCGTTGACAAACTTGAAAATAGAAATGTTGCAACTAAACGTGAAAACTATATGTAATTATTTCTTCTATTTACATGTATCGATTTATGTTTTAATTGAACACTTTAAATCTATTTATTAGTCAATAGATACATCAAGTGATTTCAAATCTATTTGTCAGTTGAGTCAAAATTGTGTTTAGAATCAATGAATCAATATTCAATATATATATAAGAGGAACTTTTTAAGAGCATACAAAGCGCCACATAATCTTGTCATGTCATCCATCATATATAACAATTATGTAGTTATTTTTATACTCCGTACCTTTTATTTTATTGGATTCTATTTTGGGAAAACTGTCAAATAGGTCCTCGAACTTTCATAAAAAGGTCAATTAAGTCCTTCTATAGGACGTTCTGTCCGGCCTTCGCGATTTGGTGCAGTTCCCAATGGAATTTTTTGATGATTTTTTTGAGCATCTTATTCACCAAGTCTAGTTTACTCATACCAAATTTCAGCTAAAAATTCAATCGGAAACACATTCAAATTAATTCTTGAAGATATCTGCGCATTTTTGCGTTCTCGAATTAATTTGAATGCGCTCTCGATTAAATTTTTAGATGAAATTTGGTATGAGTAAACTAGACTTGATGAATAAGATGCTCAAAAAGTTTCATCAAAAAATGCCATCAGGAACCGCCCCAAATCGCGACGACCGGATAGAGTCTCTTATATTAATTGACTTTTTATGAAAGTTCGAGGACCTATTTGACAGTTTTGCCTTCTATTTTTGATTGTATATTGATATGAAAACAAATGACTCTAGATTCCGTCACTTTTGAAATAGATTGATTCCTAATCTAAATTAGGAAATCTTTATATGTTTACAAATTCCTAATTTTGTTTGCTCTTAAGATGTTTTTAATTAGATTGATTTCAGTCTCAGACTAAATCAGATCGGATCAAACTTTAATAATAATTGGACACATAAAATGTAAAACAGAAATCTATCAGCTCATATTACTTTATACCAAATCAAATCCGAAAATTTTAATTCAATTAAAAAAGTTCTTATTAATGACGTTTTCAATGTGATGAAATAATAGGTAAAATGTAAAATCTTACTATTAAAAGTGTGTACTCCATATTTCATACCAAGTTGAATGAGGAATATTAAAATATATATTTTGAGGCGCATAATAAAGTAAATTAGAGGACATGAAAATAATTAAGAAGCTTCTCTATGAATTCTTTAAAATCGAGTTAATAACAATTATGCTTAGTAGAGAAACTTATGTAGAAGATCATTTATACTATTTTTCATATAATTTTTATTTATTTAACAAATGGAATATTTTTTTTTCATGATTCGGGATATTCACCTATTTAACCTATTCAACTAGCTAGAATTTAATTAATTTCAGCAAAATAAACCGATTCCAACAATATTAGTATTATCAAACAGACTCTATATTTAGACTGAGTTTATTTTGCTTTTGCGTCACATTATATATGATTCCGAAAACCAATCAAATTTTAAAAAATCTAGTGGTAGTAGTATTTGAAAAAGTGTTTTATTAAAAAATCACCAGCCATTCTTTTTTATTGTTTTTATTATCCTCTTCTTAGTTGTTTTTTATTCTCTTTGAAAAGCTTTTTTATTAGTTATCTATTTTCCATACATTTCCATACCCGAAACATATTTATCATAATTTTTCTCTTTCTATTTCCTATGGAGTATTATTTTGACTTTTTTCTTACATTTCCCACTTTTCTTTCTCACATCTCTGTGAAGGTCACCTAATTAATGTTGTATTCTAAAACAATGATTTAATCGTTTAAAAATGTGTTTTTAGTCCTACAAATATGACAAATTTTATTATAAATTCTTATATTTTTTTTAAATATTTTTTTATTTATCTTTATAATAATATACACTATATTCTTTTGTGTAGCGTTACATTTGCCATAGAATGAAAAATAGACTTTTTATTACTTTTATTCTTCCAACTATTATGTCAATAATATTTTTGATACACGATTTTGAACTTTTTCATTTTTAGTCATTCAACAGTTGTGTGGAAAACACTTTTGATTCATGTCTTTGAAACTTTCCATACTTAGTCCTTCGATTCGACTGTTTTTTTATAAGAATGACACTTTTGTTTCTCAAAATATTATTATAATGATAGTTTTAGTCTTTCACTTATTATGTATAAATCATAGTGGAATCACTAAAACTGTTGCTTTGACATACTCAAGGGACTAAGTAGATGTTCCATTGGTCTGACATGAGTGTTTGTAATCTGAATTTTTTAAAGTCTAGTCTAATCTGACATGAATTTTTCTAATGTAATCTTATCTGAATAAAACAAGAATAAATAATACGAATAAACAATAAGAATAAGACGAAAGGAATGTCACCTAAATGTGAGGAATTTTCAATTCGATGACAAAAAATTTCAATTAGAAGTGTCGCCTGCATAATAATCAAATCACTAAATTTAAAAATTGAATACCCAAAATATCACATTGAAAATATTACAATTTTTTGCATATAAAAAATGGCAAAAACAATTATTTAAGAGTTTTTTTCCGGAATAATGTTAATTAAATAAATTATTCCCGAAATACTGTTGGGTTAAGAATAATTCCCAAAATACTGTTGGAATTAACCACGGTTAAGGAAAGTTGCCACTCCAAGTGGCGGCTCTTGTATTACTTCACAAAAGTCACGACTCTGAGTGGCGGCTCTTCTCTTATAGTACAAAAGCCGCCACTTCAAGTGGCGGCTCTTCTCTTACGTCCCATTTTGTACATATATAAAACGCAGTATGTTTTAAGAATTTGTTTAACTGCCTTCCCGATTGAATTTTGAGCTAAAATTGGGTATGCATAAACTAGACTTGATGAGGAACATGCTCAAAAAATTCCACCGGAAACACCCTCTGATGGTGTTGTCCGCGGGGGGTTCCGGTCAGGACGTCATGACAAAAGGGTGGTCCGGCCAACTCAATTTGAGGTGATTCCCGGTGGGATGTTTTGCTTAACTTTTTTGTGTATGTTATTCATCACGTCTAGTTAATCCATATCAAATTTCAGAACCAATCTCAATTGGGAAAGCAGTCAAATGATTTTTTAAAGATAACTGCGTTTTAACGGTGTAGTTATCTTTCAAAAATCATTTAACGGCCTTTTCAGATTGAATGTTTTGCTCATATTTGCCTATTTGGTATGACTGAACTAGACTTCATTAAGAACATACACAAAAAAAATCATCAAAACATATATACTACCGGGAACCACCTCAAATTGAGGTGGCCGGACCACCCTTTTGTCATGACATCATGACCGGAACCCCCCGTGGACAACACCATCAGAGGATGTTTCCGGTGGATTTTTTTGATGAATTTTTTTGAGAATGTTCCTCATCAAGTCTAGTTTATGCATACCAGATTTCAGCCCAAAATTCAATCGGGAAGGCAGTTAAACAAATTATTTAAACATACTGCGTTTTATATATGTACAAAATGGGACGTAAGAGAAGAGCCGTCACTTGAATTGGCGGCTTTTGTACTTAAGAGAAGAGCCACCACTCAGAGTGGCGGCTTTTGTGAAGTAATACAAGAGCCGTCATTTGGAATGACGGCTTTCCCTAACCGTGGTTAATTCAAGCAGTATTTTGGGAATTATTCTTAACCTGACAATATTTTAAATATAATTTATTGAATTAGCATTATTCCGTGAAAAAACTCATTATTTAAGTCCAAAATAATTCGTTTTTTAAATAGGATAAGAATGTGAGTAGGATCCGATCAAGCTGTTAGTTGGATGGATGGTGACTTCTTT